GGTTGAAAACAACCACTAGAGGAGGTGTCTTGGTATTCTGAAAACTATAGAGTGTTACTACGAGGATTAGTAGCATTTCTTTTGAGTAAATATAATAATTTATTTTATTGTTATGGTAGGATGTGTATATATGTATATATAAGTATATATATATTTACCTATATGTGTGTATAAAAGGGATTTTATTAAGTTATGATAAGTAAGGAAGGAAGGATGTATATATATATATATATATATAGGATTTAAATAACCAAGGGTTATTAGGGAAAGATTATACACATATATATTATATTAAATATGTGTATATATATGTATGTGAATTAAGATTATTAGTATTATTCTTTCTTATTTGATATATTTGGATAGACTAGTTATTAAATTAGGTATGTGCTTATAATCAGTAGGGGATATCTATGTATAAATTAGTTATTGTTAAACTTACAATTTGTACATGGATGAGTTGCCATAGGCGTAATTATATTACCTAGGTATTTGTATGAATAAAAATATATACATCGGAAGCATGGATGAGTTGCTAGGTTATTAGTATAAATATATATACTTAGAGGAGGCATGGTTGAATTGCCACATGTATAAATAAATATATTTAAAAGAGGTATGGTTAAATTGCCAAAGGTATAAATAAATATACTTAAAGGAGGCATGGGTGATTTGCCAAAGGTATAAATAAATATACTTAAAGGAGGCATGGTTGAATTGTCAATATATAAATAAATATATTTTTAATGGCATGGTTGATTTGCCAAAGTTCAATTATTGCTATGTGTTAGATGATTAAAATATATCATCTATGGTTACTGCATGTATAGATTGGATTATGATTAATTAGATATTCTTAAATTAGAATAGTCTAATATTTTCAGGATAGTATATTATTTTATACATGTTAACAAAATATTACTGGTGGTGACATGGATGATTTGTCAAAGCCTAGTTGTGTGATTTAAATACTTATAAATGATGGTTTTGGTCTAGGGATGATTAAGAATTAATCGTTGGTGAATGGTTTAATCAAATTAGTGAACCTATTAATTGATAGGATTACTTTTTTATATAAAAGTTTTTATATATATTTGTAACATCTTATATTAAAGGTTAAAACTTTAATTAGGATGATGTTGGTTAGAGATTCTTTATTTATTGGTTTTCAGAGGCTTGGTAGAGGGAACTTGCTCGTGGGTCTAACCCACAATTTATTTTTCAGGTTATTAGAAGTTCCAGTTTCGAGGTTGAGGATCCGCAGCTGGGAGACTGTCATTCATCTACTCATCTTGTTTACCTTTAATTAGTATAGTTAATTATTGTTAAATGTTTTGTATAAACTGGTGGTTTATAAGATTTTGGTTTAGGGGTCCTTAACTTATGGGATTTCCGAGTTGTATAATATTTTCAGAATTTGAAACTCATGGAAATATTTTTGTAAAAGAGATTTAATTTTATTAATAGAATTCCATTCAGCGATTTAATCATTTTTTTTTATTCCTCTTGTATTCTTATTCGTTTAAGTACTATATTGTTTTGATATTCTCGCATTTTCGGGTGTGGGCCTGGCCAGCCTACACGTGGAAATGTGGGGGTATCACAGCCTTCGACTACACGCCGCTACCACCTCCTTCCACCACCAGCGCCATTACCTTCCACAACCACCACTGCCATGGCCTTCCACCACCGCCTTCCACCCCCGCCGCCATCGCCTTCCACCACTACCACCACCGTCACTTACCACCCCCATCGCCATTACCTTTCACCACCACCACTGCTATGGCCTTCCACCACCACCTTCCACTCCCGCCACTACCACCAGCGCCACCGCCTTCCACCACCACCGTCACCCACCACCCCTACCGCTACCACCTTCCACTATTGCAATCATCGTCACCTTCTAACACCACCACCTATACCACTGCCGCTTTCCACCTCCACCGTCACCATTTATTTTTAAAAAATGATAGAATAATGTCATTCTGTTAATTTAATTTATTTGTTACTGAGAGGGATGTTTTGGAGAATTTAATTTGAAATTTATTCCATTTTAAAATTTAAATTGGTCCAACCAAAAACTATAATAGTTATTATCATTTCATTTCTACACAGTTCACATTTACAACCAAACAATAGAATGAGAATAATTATTCCATTCTCACTTGCATTCTATTCATGCACATGCACCAAACACAACATAATTATAGTAATCATCCATTACATTAATTATATTTATTTTTATATATTGTCACAATAAGCTACTATCATTTTACCCTTACTAGCTATTGCCTCAAATTGACACTCAATATCGATTGGTACAGTTGTTATTCCTCATAGACGCGATTCCTTGATATTTAAAAAAAAAATTGTGGAACCAATATTAAATGGAGGCAATCAATTAGGTTTGATATTAGGAAAAGAAAAAAAAAAAAAATAGGTTTGATATTATATGTTAACAATTTTGGACCATTTTATTTGTTTATTTATTTATTTATTTAAATGCTGGGGAATGTCCTTTACTTGTAATATTTTTGTTTCTTAATGAAATTTTTTTTTTCTTTCTCTTCTATTGACAAGAAACGTTTTATTGTCCATTAAAAAGTCATATATATACATGTGTGTGTGTGTGTCATATTTATATCCATGCTACAAAGAAACATGTACACTCTTTGATTCTTCTTTCTTTTCAATTTTAGCCCATGTGCCTTGTGTTAATGCTTTGTTTGTTTGTTTATTTGTTTTTTCTTATTTATATAGCGTCACTGATAAACGCTTGCGTATCCATTGCGTCAAATTGAAACTTAAACATCTACTGAATATCTACTGGTTAGTCGTACCGATAGTTCTTATCGTAAAATATTTATGAATTTTTTTTTTAAACTCAATAAAAATAATTTATTCATTAATTTTCAATATATTTTTTTACACGGCCCTCCGATGAATTTTACTTTAATCTCGACTTAACTCTTTATTAAATATTAAAAAGATCTCAAATTCTTTTACCAAAAAAAAAAAAAAAAAAAAAAAAAAAAAAAAAAAAAAAACCATTTTACAAAAATATAAAAAAAAATTCTACCAAAAAAATTTTACGTTGAAACATTATAGCTTATGATAAACAGCGTCTGGATTGATAAAGAAGAGTTATTAATAATTTTTTACACGTGGGCTAATCAAATTCCATAATGAACAAGAACAAACCTCTCTTTGACCTGTGTCTATTCAATGAATATAAAAGTGGCATTGCTCTTTGACCAACTGGATTGCATATGTAGAACAAATATCTCTCTGACCTAGAACAAGAACAAACATCTCTTTGACCTATGTCTATTCAATTAAATTTTTAGTTTTGGTTTTTTTAGCTTAATAGCAGCATTCAAATATCGGGTAAAGTACAAAAAATTTCCTAAATTTTACTCTCCCTCCCAAAAAATCCCTTGAATTTTTATTTTTCCAATAAACCTCCTTAACTATCTAATTTTTTGCTAAAAACACCACGTAACACTGTTCCGGCACGTGAATATCAGGTGACCTATAAAATAATTTCAAAATGACATAGTTACCCTTATTACTGTTAGGAAAATAAATAAATAAATAAAAACTCCAAGTTGAAAGCCCCAAATTGTCCATTTTTAACCCTAATTTTATTCACAAATCGCCATTGCCATCTGCGAAGACCAGTAAAGTGCATCCTAAAGCTCACCAGCGTCAATGTCGCCTTCCTCACATTGACCAAGTCCTCCGCCACACCCACGTTCACTCCTGTTTGGCTTGTTTCCCAACATTCCGTTTCCAAACCGTTTCCAATGGACTGTCGTAAGACCACCCACACTACCACATCTTGTCTCTGAGAGATGCTACCTCCGATCATTTTAGTTCTTGACGCTGAAGATGAGATCTGTGCGTCATAGAGGATGAGATCTTTGATTTCTCTCGTGACTGCTAAAAGAGTTTCCCTTTATTTATTTCAAAACATTCAATCTTTGATGCGTCAAATTCATTTTTTAGCCCAAATTCTGCAATTTACAGTGAGAAAAAGAATGTGAACTTCAAGTTGTCTTGTCAATGTCTCAATTATAGCAAAATGATTCTACAACACATTATATATAAACAGTAGGAGATGGATCTGTATGAATCAACAACCTTCTCCAAATCTGATTTTTCATGATGGTGATTGCGGAAGTGGGGAAAGTCGTGTGTGGAGGTGATGGTGGTGTTGTGGCGGCGGTGGGGGCTGTGGTCGTAGGAGGAGATGGATCTAGTGGAGGCGGCGGTGGTGTTGTCGCGGCGGCTATGGTCGGAGAAGAAGACGCGGATCACCATGGACGGCGACGATTCCCGGCCGACTGCCACAAATTTCCTGCCGCTGCTGCTGACAACGACTTCATCGTCGAACACTGCCACCACTTCAGCCGCAGTTCTTCCACGGGCCGATTCAATCCATCACCGTTGCCGCCACTTCAGCCCGTCGCCGTCTCCAAATCGAAACCAAGTTCTGGGAGGTGGTGTGCGCAGAGTACGGGATCGATCCGGCCGATCACGTGGTGTGCGCAGAGCACATGATGTGGACAACATCTAATCCGGATCGTACGACCAGGTCTTCTTCCTCGACAACTTCGTCTTCGTGTTAAAATGTTTTGGCAAAAAAAAAACCAAAACAGTAAGAAGGGTATAAAACGACGTAGTGTATTACAAGGGCAAATTGGTCTTTTAAATTTTTCGGCATCAGAAGCTGACGTCATGGGGTAAATTGCAATAAAATCATAGTTTAGGGTTTTTTTTTTTATAGTTCAAGGGAGTTTGTTGTAAAACTCTAATAGTCTAGGGAGGTTTTTTGCATTTAACCCTCAAATATATGGCTGAGTGAATGATTTCATTTTTAGTTATACTTTCTTTCAAATGTATGGTTGAGTGACTGATTTCATTTTTAGTTACAGTTTCTTTATATATATATATATATATATATATATATAGAACTATATATATATATGGATTTTTGGGAAGAAAGGTTTATATGTAGAAAGGTATATGTATTTAGAGAGAGAGAGAGACTTGCAGATTTCTTTTTGGGAAGAAAGGTAAAAGAACAAAATGACAAGGCAGAGATGAAACAGAGATTAGGAGGTGTTTGGGTGTAACAGTTGGAAGGAGGGTGTTAAGGGTGTTATGGTCATTTAATATAATATTTTGTGTCATGTGACAAGCACGCATGTCGTCGGATGGGACAAATTGCAATAAAAATGTACAGTCCAGGAGATTTCTTGGAATTTTTATGGTTCAAGGTTTCTTGCAAATAGTTTTGTTTTTTTTTTTTTTTTGGGCATACCCTATTCTGAATTCGAAGATCGAAGAAGAAGAAATGTATGCGATATTCAGTTGGAAATTCGAAGATTGAAGAAGAAGAAATGTATGCGACATTCAGTTGGAAGGAAAAACCACCACTCACACTCTTCTCCAACTCGCATCCGCCAATCGATTCTAGGGTTTCAAGAGAGGCACAAATGGGATGGAAGTTCCGACGAATACGATCACATTCGCGCCGTTGTGAATTGCCCTCGGTGTTCCAAGCTAACGAACGTCCTCTTCTCGAACCGTCCGTTGTCGATCACTGGTGGAGACTGGTATATACCAAGCCCTCAATCTCTGACCTAATTGCAGGACCGCCTTCTATTTCAGGCCGTTCAAGTTGGTTCCGTTGCAGGGGAGTTTCGTAGAGATTGGTAGGGTTAAAGGGAAGGAGAAAGATGGAAATGTTTGCACAGATGGTGACGAAAATAGGAAAGTAGGAGCCAAGATTAGGGAGAAATTGAGGATAGGGATACGGTGGAGGATTTCCCCGGCGAGTCCAATTGGGACTGACATGCAGACACCGGTGGCATGATGATGTGGTGCGGACGGGGAGTGGTGGGTCGGGTGGTAGTGGTGATGGCTGTTCTAGAGAGAGAAATGGTTGGGTGGGTCGAATACGGGGAAGGACTTCTCTACTCCAAAGGGCAAGGGACTCGATGAGTTCGTCATTGGGCAGGAAAGAGGAACTTCATAAGTGGTGAATTTTTAACAAGAACAAGGATTGATGGGTTTGAGGAATGCAAATTTTAATTTAATCTTTTTAAATCATACTCTAGATTTTGATTGAAATTGTGTCATTTCTGCAATGGAGAGAATTGCATGCTGTTTATTGATATGCATTTCTACAATGAACCAGGGGTATTCCAAGATTATTATTCCTTATGTCTTTATTTGTGGTTCTGGAATTTTCATTAAAAAATGTGCAAATGGAGTTTAGTTTGTTATTGAATTACTTGTGCATTACTTAAGAGTTACAGAACTTTTGGTTGAAACAATTTGCTTTCCATGGCAGGTGTTTTTTGTGGCAGTTTACAACCACTACAAAAGAATACATCATGCTGCCTTGCATAAAGATTGATTGAGTTCCCAACAGTGTTTCAGCCAATTCAATTTAGTTGCAGTTGTTATTAGAAGTAACCAAAATGGCAAAACCAATGCAACAATTTGTTTTGTTTTTGTTTTTTGTGTTCAATATAAAATATAAACCTTTTTATTAGAAATATAAATGAGGTACCGAATAGTTGCTACTATGTTCTTTATTTATGTACATTACTTGTTACACATTTCATTTCCAAGAACGTGATATTTTTGCATGATATCTTCTAACTAAAAAATACTGTGTAAGTTCAACCATGTTTATGAAGCATGGTATGATAACGATACACAGTATGAAAAATGCAAGAAAAAGACTTTTAATTGAACATTTGAAATTTGTGGTTCATACTAATAACACTCTTTTTTGTTCCTTAGTCCATTGTGTATTCAAAGTGATTGATGTACGCGGTTGTGATTATCACTGTTGATTTCAATACCAGGTCAGGTGCTGAATTTTGCAAGGCTGATGTTGAAAATGATGATAATGATTTTGTTGAGCTAGAGAAGAGCAATGTGTTACTGATGGGTCCAACAGGCTCAGGTATGATCAGTTACTTTCTAATTACATTTGTTTGTTGTTGAATGTAGTGCAAAAGCAACGTCTTCCATCCGAATTAGATTACAATTCACCATTACATGTGGCTGTACTGTGAGATCCGGCTATGCATATAAGACTTTAAATTATTGGAGTCCCTTTCCCTCTTCTTATCTCTCTCTCTCTCTCTCTTGCTCTATGCATATAAGTTCCTCCTGATGGTGTGTTGGTGGGGGTGGGGAGGCTCGGTTTCCTTTATAGTGATGGGTGGCAGTTCTTATCCTGCATCTGCAGTATTAAAAGGGAATTGATGACTATTATGGACATGAATGCATTGCCTTGTTGGCTTGATACTAGTCAATTCAATAAAGTCTTTTCCAAACTATTTGGAGTTGTTAGATGAATATGTTTTCACCTTTACATTCTATATAGTTAAAATTGTGTAGTTCATGCTATCATATCTTTTCTTACTATCTCAATCCTGTTAGTTGTTTTGTCCTCTCCTTCCCTTAGCATTACCTTCAATATGGATCACACTACTCCTCTAGTCTTTCTCGCTGGTTCATCTGCTGGTTTTCACTAAATGTGGCCTAAACTTATTAATCTAGTTCTCTCATTCCGTTTTGAGCAAGTTTTACTTCTATTGTCTCATGAATGTGTTAATTTTTTTTATTATTATATTTGTTCTTCTCTTGCCATTTGCCGAGCGTCAATTTCAACATTTGCATTGGATTAAGTCCACTTTACGAATATGTTGTTTTTTAGGCAACCAACATTCTGTTTCATTTCTTATTATATCCATTTTTACTGCTGCACATGCATCTCAGTCTTTTTTGCATTTGGGCTACATTTATTTTATGCATGTTAAGTTTTTTAGTCATCCAATGAGTCGATCCCACGAGTAAGGCTGCCTAATTGAACCGACCTTCATATAAGTATAATAATTACTGTGATGCTTACGCATCACTGAGCAATGGTAGTAGACTAGTAATTGGAAAAGAAAGTTTTCTAATTTTACAGAACTCTGCTTTACTTGGTCACAAGAAGGTTAACAATTTTTTGGTATTATTAGGTCCTCACGGAGCCCAAAAATGCTCTTGGTAAATAGTACAAGAAAATGTTCAGCATGAACAATGTAAGCTTTTGATTTAGTGTATGTCCCGGCCAGGCAATACTGTACTCTTATTTTCCTTTTTTTAGAAAGTAAACATTTCGTGCAGATGAAGTGGCCTTCTTTGTGGTAAAATGTTCTATAATGTGGCTTGTCAATTTACATTTCTCGGATAATGCACTGAGGTTAATTGCAAAGAAAGCAATGTTAAGAACACTGGTGCCCAAGGTTTAAGAACCATATTAGAAAATATACTTACAGAAGCCATGTTTGAGGTATACAGTTGGATCCAATTTATGACAAATTATTATAATGGAAGTAAAAGTCAGTCTTTTCATTTCAGTTTAAGCTAGTCTGCAATCGCAATTACCAGGATGTTGCCAGTCACATTGAATCTACAGAACAGTGTGGAGGGGCATTATTTTCATAAACTCACAGTTGATCCACCTAACAACCCTCATGTTGTGAAAATTCTTGTTTGTTCTCTGGTACTGATGTTTGTGGCAATCCACTTCCTTGAGTTAAAATTTTCCTCGTAAGCATATGTTCATCGTCTTCAACTACTGACCTTAATACTTTTACTTGGGTGTATGGTGAAACATGTGAGGGGAAAAGGAGGGTTATCCTTAAACTGCCAGACCTAGGCATGGAGTAATTAGAATTTGTGTTAGGTAGCTGGTAGCTAGCATAGAACTTTCATCATATGTGTAGTGAATCAATCATGGTGCCCCTCTTCACTTTCTTGTGGCAAGCAGAGACTGGTGACAAGCTGGCAATTGCTGATTGACAGGAACTGAACCCTATCATCTTTAGTCCTTAGATACTTCCCTTGTGGACCATCATAACTTCATTTGCACTGTGCACAGATTCCTGATGCCAAAACAGGACAAAATAACCATAGATGCAGTTCTGGTTGATGAAGAGGCTGTAGGATCGGTGGACAGACCGTGATGTGGAACAAAAATTCTCAGTGGAGATGATATATCTGACCCGCCTTTCCACTTAAGAAATTTTAAAGATCCCATGGTATGTTCTCTTATTCCTTATTTTGGCAAGACTTCCTAACCCTTCTCATTCAATCTTTTTTTTCCAATTTGAGGCATTTTATTTTGTTTTTCGTTTTCACTTTTCACCATCTTTTCTAGGACCTGGTAGAAATTGAAGTGATACTCCAAACTTAATACTTGAAAAAATTTATACAGGAAGAAAATGAAATGAAAGGGACTTTGAGAATCAGAATGAATTTCATCAATAACACTTGAGCCTAACTTGAGCATGCTTATAGGACATGCTTGTGGTCAGTTGTTCTATCGTTGATGAAGTTGGGATGCACCTCAATGAATATATCATCATTTTGGTTATTTAAAGCCTCCATAGGGGGCCTTGATAGACTGATAGTTGATATTGTGGGTGGCATCTTTTTAGACAAACCAAGTAGGTAGGTTCCGGTGTTAAAAATATGATGTAGTTCCAATTCCCTGAGGAAAGTTCCGACATACCTTCATACCATAAAGCACCAATAGACCTGTCGTTGAGAGGAATATCATTAAGCCCTTACTGTGTGGTTGTTACTAAGGGTGTTATTGAATTCGTGAGGAAACATACACGGTAGCTGATACAAACAATCTATGTAGCATGTATAAAACCATTCTTTATATGTTTCTTTTAATTTTTTTTATAAAAAAACTGATACCATTTTTATTCTGTTTTAATTTCATTGATTTAGGCTGGTTCAACCTTTTTCTTCAGAATGATTGTATTCGGCCTTGGTTTGCAGGAAAAAGGCATGGCTGCTGGTGGGGCGTTAGAAGAAGACTTAGAGCTCTCATCAAGAGCCGTTTGCTTGTGACCTTAGTTTTTTGGGCATTTGTAAAGTCTTGTAATAATATTTATTATAGTTGTGAAATAACCAAGTCTATTTGGGATAGTGTTTTTGAAAAGTGTTTCCTTTTTTCTCATTAAAAAAAGAAAAGAAAAGAAAAGAAAAGAAAAAGGAATATGATGTGTAAAAAATGCATTTGGTGGAGCATTTCCATCATTTAAGTGATGTTTTTGCAGATACTATTTTTGAAAAAAAAAAGACATTGTTTAAATTTCTCATCATTTCCATTATCAATGATATAAATGTTGAAAATAGTGAACACCAAAATATTTTTTCCCCCTGAATTAAAACCAAAATAATATCCTCATGTTCTTTTACAATTATTGATATTTCCCTTTTTCTTGGGAGGGAGGCATGGATTTTTTTTGGTAAGTAGTGGCCCTGTTTAGAAACGTTACAATTTTCAATGAGAATCAGCGGTAACAATTCGTGACATTCTGACATTCAGAATGATTTTTAAAAAATACAATTTTCAATGAGAATCAGCGGTAAAAATACAAAGTGATTTTTGCTTTTGAGAGAGAAACCAAAATAAATATAAAAAATAAAAAAATCACTTTGTATTTTTTAAAGCACCAATTTGGAAATGCAGAAATATCTTTCCCTTTTATGTTGCACTATAGCACCAATTTGGAGAGAGATGGTCATTACGTCAAAACAGACCTACATAAAATTCACCTTCCAAGTATTTCCTTCTACTTTTTTCTTTTCTTGGGGTATAAATTTTTTTTTTGAAAGATTAACAATATATAATATTAATTGAAGACAACAAAGAAAGAAAAAAAAGATGAGGAATAACTAATATAGAAAGAAAAATGGTAAAGAAGATGACTATGGTAATTTTATCTAAAATTAGTTAGTGCATTTAATATTCCTAGTAAGATTGTCACATTAAATTGTATTTTTTAAGTAAGTAAATAAGGTAAAAAAATATAGTGCAAAGATAGTTATGGCATAATAAAATAAGGGATGATGCATTAATTAGCTCAGGGTTTTTTTTTGTCATTTACATTAAAAAAATAAAAAGTGAAGTGTAAACGTAAAATGATAGAGTGTGAAATTGCGAATAATGCCTCTCTAAAAAAAACCAATAAAACACCCCGATAAGCCCTAATTTATCGTAAATGAATGTTCCGGTGATTTCATGTCTCTTACATTAATTTTCTTGTTAAATCACGTCTTCTCTTATTAAACTTCCCACAAATTGCTCTTAATCAAAATTTGTAATTAATAAGCTTTGTTGACTTTTACATGGAAAAATTACCAAAAATAAATCACTTGATGTTTCAATCCAATTAGGACCAAAGTTCAAGGGTTTTTTTTTTTGGGAATGGATCCTCTATAAAAAAAATTCTCTCCTAGCATCTAATTACTAAAGCGCCACGCGTCAATAATTCATTTGACTCACTCGATATACTAAAAGTTACTGAACTTTTTTCTTTTTTATTTTATTTGTATGATATCATATTAAATTCCGATGCATCAACTTTTCTTTTTAGGGAAGTTTTTCTCTGTTTTATTTTAGTTTTAATTCTACTTATGTACGGCTGGTTGACTTCATACATACCTTTTTATTCTACCTATGGTACATACATAAGTTAGAATTTATAAGAGTAGTCAAATTTATTATACAAAACAAAATAAATAATAATACCCACGGATTGGAATTTGAAGGGAATTTAAAGGAAAATTTCAAATATTGGAAAATTGAGGAAAAATTGAAGAAATTTGGTAACTACGCAACTTCCCAAAACTACCCTTCTTCAAAGGGCTTTAACGTCTGTCTCTATTTTACTGATCTCTTTTACAACTTTAACCTCTCTTCTTCAAAGGGTATAATTATTATTTTTTCAATTCCAAACAAAAGCTTAAATCCATATCATTAAATAAACAAATGGTTTGATAATATATAGTACTGTTTAATTTGGTAAATAAAGTAATAAAATTGATAAATAAATCAACCAAAGAGTTATTTATGTAAAAAAATGGTATATCATTTTAGTTCCTCAAACACATTGTAAGGAATAAAGGTCATATTTTTTAATTAATAAAATATGCAATTGTCAAATAATTTGATACGGATCCATGATATTCGGTCCGACCCGACCCTTCTCGGACCGCCTCCCTCAGTTGCTTCGTTTCGAATCCTACCACTACTCTAGTATTTAGGCACAACCAGTCTGCCTTCCTCACTCTAAAAACCTCGCCACAAACCCATTGCGTCAGTCGACGAAGAAGCCTATAAAAGAGCCTGGCTGTCTTGCTTGTTAAGAACAACAAATATAATACAACCCAAACAGATCGAATATATATATATACACACAAACACATATTCACACATACACACAGTTGAGTGTGTGTATCGACTGCTTTATTCTCGAAAAGTAAGTCCCCTCTTCTTTGATTTCTCTCTTTCGAAAGCGGGGTTGATACAATCTGTTTGATTCAGTTTTAGATACACTTTTTATCTCGGTCTAGGGTTTGTTCTTTGTAGTCCGTCGGAACTTTATCTTGTACTTTCTTTGTCTAAGCTTGTATCAAATTATCTAGGGTTTCTTATTCATTAATTGGATATTTGTATGGATTGTCGCCGCTTTACTTGGGCCTTTTTATTTTTTGCAATGCACGAACACAGACACACGGTACATGTGTGTACTTGTTTTTGTTCTGGCACTGTAGACCTTTTATTTGTAAATTAGAGGAAGATTGAATATTTTTTTGATGTATAGGTCGTTTTCACATTGCCTATTGTCATACCATATTTGATTTCCTTTTGCTCAACTTTGGCTAGAGTTTCCACTTAATAGGTCATGCAAAGCTTATATGAAAGATATTATCAGTAAAATAGGGATATAAAAAGTCCCATTAATGTGAAAGATTCAATGGGTATATCAGGATATATTGATTTTGTTTTTAAGAAGGGTTTTCCAAAAATTAGTAACAAGCATTGAAACAAGGAGGGTTTTTGAGACCTTGAGAACATGTTGCTGGATACTTAAAAAAAAAAACAGAACATGTTGCTGGATGAACATGTCGCATGTATTATTGATAAACTGTTTCATAGGAGGTGCATTGGTGGGACATAAATAATTATGCATGAATCTGCCTCTGGCTTAAATTGGGTGGCGGTTTTTCTTTTTGAACTCAGAGGATTTACTAAAGAATGCTTTATGCCCTCTGTTTGTGGTTGACAACTTGAGTCCTTGACATAGAATTTTTTATTTTCTTAGGCCATCATTCGAAGTTATACGTGTGTATATTCTAGAATCTACTTATATGTTTAAGTGGACTATTTTTTCTCCTTTTATATATTAGCCGAGTTTTTCTTCATGCGAGAAGGCATTAGCGTGTTGACGATTTTTTCATTATGGAGTTGTTCATTGACTTTTCTTCTTTCATGGGTCTTTTCTTCCTCAGATATTGATATAATAAAGCATCACCAGTGAGGTGAATTTTGTGCAAACACTACTTTTTATTCGGTTGCCCAAAGATGGCGAATTTAGCGACTATAACCATAACTGGTATACTGGAAAAGGTATGTTTTTTTGGTCTCATGTACTGAAAAACCTGTTTCTTTCTTTCCTTTTTTTTTAAAAAAATATTTTTGTTGTTAATATTTTTGGTTGCTGCGTATTCTTTTTTTTTTTTTTTTTTCCCTTCATTGGAAAATGCTTGCAATTGCATCTTCACTTGTTTGATTTTATTGTGCAGATGACGGGGAAGGATAAAGATTACCGATATATGGCAACTTCTGATTTGCTAAATGAGTTGAGCAAAGAGGAATTTAAACTTGATGCTGATCTTGAGATAAAGTTGTCAAATATTGTCATACAGCAGCTTGATGACGCAGCTGGCGATGTTTCTGGATTAGCTGTTAAATGGTTTGGCATTTTTTACTCCTTCTTCAGCCACTATTTTTTTATGCAGTGTATTTATAGCACATCAAAGCATCTTTCATATTTTTCTTGTTATCAACCCTAAGTGGGGACATACACTTTGTGATGATCGGCTGAAAATGTCAATCCACACACACACACACACAAAAAAAAAAAAATGTATGCAGAAATACACGCTTCTATTTATGTTTTAATGTTTTATGTAGTTAATAGCTGCAGGGAGCTTAAACTAGCAACGCGAAAGTGTGTTTTGCAATCTGCATAACATTCTAATTTCAGCATATGTTATTTGTCTTCTGCGCTTTTTTTTTTCTTTTCTTTTTTTCGTTTTGTGCATGCGGGTTTATGTGTTCTGCACCGAACCTCTTTCAAAAGGCACTTCTCTGAAAAATTTCACAAGAATGCTTTCCCCAATATTTTGCATTGTTCTAATTTCATCTTGGTGCATTGGTTAGAGATTTACTTATCATTAGGTAGTCGTTATATATATATATATATATATATATATATATATAGATGTATGTATGTATAATATTTTAATGCCATGTCCTCGCTGTGTCTGCTGCGTCATCTGAGTTTTAAATTCTCCATTTGGGTGTCCACTTGGATTATAGTCATTTGTTTCTGCATGTCCTGCTTCTTATCATTCAAAATCATCATCGTCTCAATACACTTTTACTTGGATGGCATTTAGAGAAATGTGATGGTATGCATTCAACAGTCGATTGAAAAAATGAAACGAACCTTCACAAAATGTGTTCGCCCTCCCACAAAATGTGATGGTATTGCTTTGATTTAGTATTCTTTAAGTTCCCCAACATAAGTAAAATTGCCTAAAACAGTAACTTGATATTGTGCTCTGGAATTTTATTTTTCAAGTCTTATTTGGTGGTTTAATGTGATTTTTCAGTCTTGCCCCACTGGTGAAAAAAATCCATGAGCGACAAGTTCTGGAGATGGCTAATAAGCTTTGTGATAAATTGCTAAATGGGAAGGACCTGCATCGTGACATCGCAAGCATAGCTTTGAGGACAGTTGTTTCTGAAGTCCCCACTTCATCTGTTGCACAATCTGTTCTAGTTTCCATCTCTCCGAAAATGATAAAAGGGATAACTGGTCCAGTGAGTTCTCAAAAGCTAACTTTATACATATGAATGCTTAGTGGAGTTTGGGTTGAAGCATGTTAATGTTTGAAAATACACTTTTTTTGTTCCATTTAAATGATACTAGATTATTTTAGTTAAGAAAGGATATAATGTGCACAGAAGTAAATAACTTATATCTAATTGATGTGATAGCTTAGTGGAGTTTAAGATGTGGTGTGTTAGCTTTTGATGAATAACTTCCTTTATTCCATTTAAATGATACTAGATTATATTAGTTTGGAAAGTAATTGATGTACACAGAGAGTAAAATACACATGAATTGGCAATTGATCTGTATGTGATTATTAGGTCAGTGATCAATGATTTGATTGACTTATAAATTCAGGGTAGAAAAATCTACTCTCTATCACGAAAAGAAAATGATTTTGAAACTAATTTACTTCTTCACCACTTGCTTACCTTCGTATATTCAATATCAAAAGGCTGCCATTGACCTACAATGCAGAACATTCATGGGCCAATTTCCGAATAATAACTGTCTTTATTGTTCCATGTTTTGAGTCCTTAAACAGATAAGAAATTCAAACCCCATCCTGAATATGCGATGTGGTAAAAGATGTTCATGTGTTGGATTACTCCATAATTTAAGCCAATTTTTGTGCTATGGTAATAATCCTTGCAGAACATCCTTGCAAGTTACAAATAATGTAGTTGAAGTTTGTTATGCCCACAAAATCACTTGCTTTGTTCAGTTTGGTAGATTTTATTGCTTAAAGTATGCATATTTTTGCTTTACTTTGGGTTTTATGTGAAATTGGAGTACCAAAAAGGTTTTTAATGCCACGAAAGCTCTGTAGATGGAATCTTGAGGATTTTGAGGCAGTTCCTTTGTCTACTGTAGTTGTTGCAAAATGGGGTTAAAAAGCGGAAGCATGCTTGGTCTTGTGTTCATATGGCAATCAAAATTTTGTAAAACATTCTTGAGTTGAAGTTTGTAGAGATTCAAGAGTCCTATACCTCTTTGGATATAGTATAGTCCCAGACCCAAGATGAACACCTCTCTTGAATTCTTTTAGCTTTCCTTCCAAGCGCCTTCTTCTTCTTCCTTGGTCTTTTGCCTTTAGAACACCTCTATGACCCTTTCTTGAACTCCGTAAGCCTAGAGAAAAAGGAAACCTAGATAAAGGATATGTGTAGAGTGAGTCTCTTGCCTTTTGTGAATAATGCAAGACTTAGGGTTGTAAGCCCTTATAAGACATATATACAGGAGTCCCAAGGGAGTGGTAATATCACTCCCTACAATCCCGTGGAGTCTAAAATTTTCCACTCTCTTGCTCAACCTTCAGACTTGGGCTAGAAATGAGGATCTATTGGGCCCATTCTGTTCTTGGCTTCAATGGGTTATTTAATTGACCTGGTCATCTCATGACCCAATTACAACCCATTAACCAAACTTAACCCACTATATAAGAATGGTTGCACTCCAATTAGAGAAATGGTGAAACCACGAAATTAATATCTGAGATGACCCATCTAGGCTCAATTTGCCATCGGAAAAATTAATGTCATCAACCCAATTACTTTATTGGACCTTTATTTTGACTCTTTGATTATTTTCCGTTGGATCACATAAAACTTTCCTTCGACAAAATAATATATTTAATAAATAAATAAATATAAAACCATTTTCTCAAAACATTTTATCAAAAAAACGAGGCCCCAGATTTTCCGTGATCAAACTAATCATGTCAAAGTAAATGTCATATCATAGATTTATTCATGAGAGTATATGTTCCAATGTCAATAATCAATGGCTACCCAAAGTACTCAAGTCTCAGGCCCTGGGGCCCACCGAATAGATCTAAACAACCACTAACCAAGCCAAGAGTCCATACCTCTGTCATTCTTGAGTGTTATTCGCCATAACACCGATGAGGAGCAATTGCTTCAACGGCTCTTGCAGTTGGCTCAACTTATCGTTGATCCAGTTAGTTCTTTTCAGATAAAGAGTCCATCCTCTATCACCGAATGTGAACACTTCATGATAATGCAATATCCGTGATTTATATTCCCTATGCATAAACACTCATCATACATCTGTAAATCACATGGCGTAGTCAAAGGGACAACCACGGTCCATCTCATGGACCGACCAATACAAGTATTCTCCATATATATATGTAGAGCATTTAATAAAATCCCAGATACCATTAATAACAAATGTCAATTACATCCTATTTATTGGCTCGAAGGGCACTCAATCCCAACAGTATTATGGCTATGGATAAGGATTTTGCAAGAACTAAGAAATTCTGATTCATATTTCATCCTCTAGGGCTAGTACTTCGTACTGAATCTTAATATTAGATTTGTCTTTTAAACTGTTTAACAAATAATCTCTATTCTGCTTGCTTATGGACGTCAAATATTCACATCATGATGGAAATAGTCTCTCTTTCAATGTTCATTTATTGCTATAATCAATTTTATTTTCATTTATTTGTTTATGTGTTTATTCATTTCACTTGCGCTTCGTGCTAATCAATTTTAGTATTAATTGCCTTGCGCTTCGTGCTAATTCTTTGAACTGATAAATATTTTAGGGAATGAACACAGAGATAAAGTGTGAATGTCTTGATATTTTGTGCGATGTTCTTCATAAATTTGGGAATTTAGTGGCATCAGACCATGAGCTGCTATTAGGTGCACTGTTGCCCCAGTTAAGTTCCAATCAAGCCACCATCAGAAAGAAGACTGTTTCATGTATAGGTAAGAAAGAAAAGGAGGCTAACACAAATATGTTAATGATTGATATGTCAATAGGGAAGGATACACATCGTTTAGATCTAGGGTGAGAATTCAGTTTTGGGTAGTTGTGAAGCAGTTATGTAACACATTTTCTTATACCTGCAGCATCTCTGGCTTCAAGCTTATCTGATGATTTGTTGGCAAAGGCAACAGTTCAAGTTGTTCGGCTTTTGAAAAAAAAGGGTACAAAATCTGAAATGACCCGTACAAATATTCAGATGATTGGGGCTTTAAGGTATGTTTTCAATTTCCCCTCTCATGGAACCAATTGTGTATCTTATCTTTCTCTCGCTCATTTAATGATTCTTTGTTCAAATACTTACCAAAAAATATAAAAAAGGAAGAAGATTCCTCATGCATCTGACTAAAATTTGGTTTATATCTGATATGCTGTTCTCCTGTTTGTCATCAAAATTTGATGCTGTAGGAAAAGACACTAATTTGGCTTCAAAAAAAAGAGGAGGAAAAAAACTGTAATACAATTAGATCCACTCTTCATGGACAAACCTGGAGACTAAATCATATCCCTCCCGATATCTTAATACGTCATGTCCCTCAACTTCTCATCTTATTTGTCAAATAAAAAAGTACTTTGGATGCTGCACCTGATTGAAAAGTGCATTTCCTCATTGACTGGTTTTTTAGAAACCTGGAACCTCGTATAATATCTCGGTCTTCACATACCTCCAAAATATATCAATTTTCTCATGATAAAGTTATTTGTTTTTGTTTTTATTTTTTATTTATTTATTTTGTGTGTGTGTGTGTGTGTTGCCTCATTATGCTAGCTAATTCTTAATTCTCTGCAAGATCTATTAGAAACTTTCGGCTTTAGTAGCTTGCTTATGGATTGGTAATTTGTTTACTTTGAGCCTGTTTGGCAACATATCTCTTTTGTTGTCAAATCAGTAAAAAACAGATGTTTGGTAATGATTGTTACATTTTGCACAGTACTGCTTCAGAAAAGGCCTAAATCTGGAAAATTGTTTTTGCTATTGTAGCGAGAATTATTATATTAAAATCAAGTATAATGTAAATATTATATTTTTCACAATTATCCAAAAATTTTTTGCTTTGAAACATTGTGCAAAATTTTTTTAGTTGCCAAACATGTTGTTTTGGAATAAATCACAGCAGAACAAAAACATTACCACTTCTTTTTCATTTAAAATTGAAAACGCAAAATGGAAACAATTGCCAACTGGGCAGTACTCATTTTTTTTTTTTCAAGCTTATCTAAGTAGCCCAAAGATGAGCTTCTTACTGTTTGCTACCCCTTCGCCCAACATAACTTTTTTCTGTTTGTTATTTATTTATTTTTATTTTAAAAAAAACCCTATGGTAACAAACCACAAAACTTGTGTTTTAGCCGTTCTGTTGGATATCGTTTTGGTCCCCATCTTGGAGATACTGTTCCAGTACTAATTAGCTACTGCACGAGTGCATCAGAGAACGACGAGGAGCTTCGTGAATATAGCTTCCAGGTATTGTGCATGTCAGTACATTTTTTAAGTTATTTGTTTTGTAATTTGTTCCAATGTTTTTTTTTTTTTTTTTCCCTATATATATATATATATATTTTGTTGATAAGTTGTTACATTCCCCATTGTTTTCAATCCTTAAATTGATTTTATCATTTACTACACATGCATCATGCATACGAATTTTTATTGCAGGCACTGGAGGGCTTCTTACTTAGGTGCCCAAGGGATATTTCTTCATACTGTGATGAGATCCTTCATCTTACCCTGGAATTTCTTTGTTATGATCCTAATTTCACTGATAACATGGAGGAAGATACAGATAATGAGAGTCATGAGGAGGAAGAAGACGAGTATGCAGTTCTCTTATTCATTTGTGTGGCTGCGCGATACATTAAACATTTTTATATGATTGAAGTGCTACTAATACTTGATTCTTTATTACCTTGTAGTGAGAGTGCAAATGAATATTCTGATGATGAGGATGTCAGTTGGAAAGTTCGAAGAGCTGCTGCTAAATGCTTAGCAGCATTGGTTGTTTCTCGCCCTGAGTTGCTTTCAAAGCTATATGAGGAGGTATATTTTACAAGAGTGTTGGAATCGTTGCATTATTGGTAGCTTCCAAGTCTTAGTTGTTTGTATTTTATTTTTTTGCTGAGGTACTGGATCTTATCTTGCCATTTCGATGTGATGTATGCAATCCCCACATCTGAGTTTAAGTCATTTTGTGTTGTCAGAATATGATATTTATATTTGAATTGTAAGGGTGATTCGTAAGGAAGAGCAGAATGCTGTTTATATATGCAAATGAACAAGAATATACCAACTGAAAGAGTAAATTAGTAAATCATGCAAATTTCTTATTATGCAGGCCTGTCCAAAGTTGATTGATAGGTTTAAAGAAAGGGAAGAAAATGTCAAGGTATGGCTGAAAATGGTACTTTCAATGTAACTCGTTTCTCCTTTGCTTGGTTAATTATCTGGTTTGTTCTGCTGCAGATGGATGTATTCAATACGTTCATTGAGTTACTACGCCAAACAGGAAATGTTACAAAAGGACATAATGACACAAATGAATCGAGGTGAGTTTATTTTTGGTTTATGCTTCTTTTTTCGGTATAGTGTTCTATTACTTGAGTGCTGAATCTTGTTAATTTTTTTCCCTACATTATTATGCATGATCTTATCTTACTAAAAATGTATCTGGAAAGTGGAATAGTAAAATAACTTATACATATTTGCAGTGATTTAATAATGGAAGAGATGTTTTTGTAGTATGCTTTTGCCTTGAATTTTAATTTCTTATAGTAGCATACAACATTATACTGGATGGGTTAACATGACGACTGAACTTTTTTATGTTGAAATTTATTGAGCTTGAGAAACTTAAAAAGTTGTGTCTGTTAAATAGAATTTGTGGGCCTGTTTGGTTAAGTTTTCTGTTTTCTGAGAACTAAAAATCAGAAAACTGTACAAAACTGTATGGTTGACATTTTCTGAAAACTCAGTTAAAAAAGGCCTGTTTTCAGGGAATTGTCTTTTATGGTTCCCTTTTCTGTTCTGAGAACAGTAGTTAAAAAACTGTACCTTGGACTGACTTTGAGTATATTGGGTGTTCTTGAACACTAATATAAATCCTCATGGACTTATTGTTACTTTATTTTTTATTTTTTAATATATATATATATATATATTTTATTATTCCATCCATAATTATATTCCGTCCATGTTTCTGTTAAATCTAGATTAGGGCTCATCCATCCTTTTTGTTTATGCTATATGTTCTGAATAAAGTGGTATTGGTGGATTAAGACCATTCTGCTTAATCTCTGACAGTATCCTTGTACCCTAATGTGTAAATATATATATATATATATATATATATATATATATAAGTAAATTTAATAAATTTACAATAAATTGAAGGACCTGCAATTTGTTCTTTGCCCATATTGTACAATTTCTATTTTCATGTGCTTCTTGTTATTCGCTAAGATGTTCTCTTTCACAGAGAAAATTCTCTCATTCTTTTACTGATAGTCTGTAGGATTGGCTTATATTTCATACCTAGCTTGTCTATTGTGCAAGTGCAAAATTCTTCCTGATCCATATTGAAGGCATTGTCCAACCTATTCCAGAACAAACCACACCCCCCCGCCCCGCGGGCGGCATGAATGGTTTATACATTGTGTGCTTTTTGGTCCCATTGACCACTAACTGGTTCTTTTCAATAGAGAAAGGGACTTTTGTTCTGGTGTACTATTATTAGTCCGTAGAGCAGGCCTCTACTTCGGCACTGGCTTGTATTGTACAGGGTGACTCTTTCCTTACAATCATCTGATCTATTTAATATGCAGCCCAAGATGGTTATTGAAGCAAGAAGTACCCAAGATTGTTAAATCTATAAATAGGCAGCTACATGAGAAATCTTTAAAGACAAAGGTAGTAATTTGCTGATATACCTTTTCGCTTTTTCAAATTTAATTCTTTTTCGCAATCTGTCATGCCTCATTTTTCTGAGTTCGGTGCATTTTCTCAATTTTGATCTTTCTGTTACTTGTCATGCCTTGTTGATATGCAGGTTGGCGCCTTTCTTGTTCTGAAAGAACTTGTTGTTGTCTTGCCCGATTGCCTTGCAGACCACATTGGATCCCTTATTCCTGGAATTGAAAAAGCATTATGTGTAAGTTAGATCTTTCATGTTACAAGTATGTTACAAATTCTATCATCCCCCTCCTTTCTATATGGCTAATATTGTTGTTTCCCCATTTTTCTTAACAAACTTTGCCAGGACAAATCTGCTACCTCAAATTTGAAGATAGAGGCTCTTATATTTACAAGATTAGTGTTATCTTCACATTCACCTTCTGTATTCCACCCTTATATTAAGGTAAGATACCAAACTTATTCTCCACTATTTGGTAGAGTTTCAAGGCAAAATGTGAGTACATGTTTTGGAGCGTTTCCTGCCCTTACATTGGGCACATTGATATTGATTCTGAAGTAATCAGGCTGTCTTCATACAGCTATAATTTCAACTTATTGAGAATGCAGTAGTAAAAACTCAGGCTGTCGAGTATAAAAATGCGAGTGAGTGTTGTAGTAAAGCCCAAGGCTTAAGTCTGTACTCGGTTTACAATTTGATGAAATGATAGGAGGCTGAGTCTGTCACATCCAGACTTGCAGTGGCTATAGGGTATATTCTTGCTGTGGAACTAGGAACGCTTTCTTTCTGCAAGTTACCTTATTGGTTCTCCTCATCCGTGTTTATCTTTGATGCAGTTCATTACTTAGAATGTACAATTTCTTATTTGCGGTTTCAACTCTTTAAACAACTTATCTTTTTAGGGTTTGATGAAATAGAAGTAAAGAATAATGAAGTAGCTGTAATTTTGGAATGGCCCTCAGGAATTTCAGAATGCAGATAAGCAGCAGTAAAGAGAAGTATAAAAAACGAGGAAGAGTATCAAAATCTGTTAATTGAGAATAAGCTCATTTTGCTCTAGCCACTTAAGGTAGGAACCCTACCAATAGCAATTATAAAATAAGTTGTCTAAAAGAATTAGAAACTTATTAAATAAGAAATATTTTGCATAGAAGATTTTTGAAATTATAAACAGGACTACTAGTTCTTGAAAAAAAAATGGATTAATGAATTCCATAACTAAACAACTAGTTCCTAGATTCTATACAATCCAAACCTCTGAAGGTTACTGAGTAAATTCCCATTTAGATTATAATGATTCAAGTGCAACAAAAATCAAGGCCCACTCGATTTACTCTTTTTCTTTTTGATATTCTAAACTCAATTTACCCCTTTCTTGTTAACACGCTCTGCATCAACCTTATCTTCTAGTTTTTTTATATTTTGTTTGGATAATCTCGTATTTGCATCACCCCATGGATAAGCAGATGTACTTGTAGTGTGGCTCTTTAATTATGATTCAAAATGATGTTATTACAGGCTCTTTCTTCCCCTATTTTATCTGCTGTTGGTGAGCGTTATTACAAAGTAACAGCCGAGGCATTAAGAGTGTGTGGGGAAGTTGTTCGTGTTGTACGTCCAAATATTGAGGTGAGATTTTCTACTAACTTTGAGATATTACCAGACCAGACCATTTACTGAGGCACAAGTGGTTCTGTTTTTTAGGGTTACGGATTTGATTTCAAACCTTATGTTCATCCGATATATAATGCCATCATGACACGCTTGACAAACCAAGATCAAGATCAGGTTAGTAGAATTACCAACCGAACAATTTTTGTGCAATTTTACTTCATCTCACAAGGTCCATTTTCCAGGAGGTTAAAGAGTGTGCTATTTCTTGCATGGGACGTGTTGTTTCTACATTTGGTGATAATCTCAAAGCGGAATTACCTGCTTGCCTTCCTGTTCTTGTTGACCGGATGGGAAATGAGATAACCCGACTTACAGCTGTGAAGGTTGTGTTCAAAGTTCTTACGTTTTGATTTTGTATTTGTGATAGTAATGTATGAATGCTATTTAATGTTAATGGTAATATTTATAGCCTTAAATTTCATTTCTTACAATTGTGCAATTGCCTATTTTTACATAATGTACTTTGATATGATATTATGAAAATGGATTAGTGTCTAATATGGTGTCTGGTGTCCAGGCTTTTGCTGTTATTGCTGCTTCGCCGCTACACATTGATCTATCATGTGTTTTAGAGCATGTTATTACGGAGTTAACTACATTCTTGCGGAAGGTATGGGCAGATGTCGTTCTTCTATTGTATAATTTCTCAAGCTATATGGATTTCTGTACTATTTGATGGAAAACTTCTGAACTAGTTTGCTTCTTTTGGAGAATAGGCTAATCGGGCATTGAGACAGGCAACATTGGGGACACTGAATTCTCTAGTTGTTGCTTATGGTGATAAAATTGGTCTGGCTGCTTATGAAGTTATCATTGTGGAACTTTCAGCTCTGATAAGGTTTGTTTATTGAACTTTTTCCTAAAATTACTTGTTTAATCATGTTAATTTACCTATTTTTATGTTCTTTCTCATCTTCTCATGGTTAGTCATGGTTATGATTGAAGTTGGTTTTTAGAATGTTAAATGTATCCTTATTTTTCTGTTATTTGCATTCAGTGATTCTGATTTACATATGACGGCTCTAACTCTGGAGCTCTGCTATACCTTGATGGCCGACCGAAGGTCAAGCTTAAATGTTGGTTCAACTGTTAGAAATAAAGTTCTTCCTCAAGCGTTAACATTAGTAAGAAGCTCGCTGCTTCAGGGGCAAGCCCTCTCGGTATTCCCTTAGCCTTGATTGGAATTTGTAGTTTTGTCCATGAAGTTGGCTCTATTTGAAACCTCTTCTCTGGATATTGCAGGCTCTACAATACTTTTTTGCTGCCTTGGTTAATTCAGAAAACATGAGTTTTGATGCTTTGCTAGATTCTCTTCTTTCAACTGCAAAACCATCTCCCCAGTCTGGTGGTGTTGCCAAACAGGCGTTGTTTTCCATATCTCAGTGTGTGGCAGTTCTATGCCTTGCTGCGGGTGATCAGAAATGCTCAACTACCGTAAAAATGCTTACAAACATCCTGAAAGCTGACAGCAGTACTCATTCGGTAATTGTTATTATTTGTTTAAAGTTTAAGATCATAATAGAATTATAGATCTGTTGAGTTAGCTCTTTATATGGTTGCTTATCATATTTACAATCTTGTTTGGTTGGTGAAATTGGTTTACTGGTGTTTATTGATGACAACCCTGACATTTAATGTAATTTAGACCAACAGTTCTGCGGCCTAGCGGTACAAGGCTCCTACTTCCCAAAGGGAGGTCAGGGGTTCGAACGTCAATGGAGGTAGTGTGTGTGAGTCCCAACTAGGAAAAAAAAAAACAAAAATGTAATTTAGAGCGTTGGCTTTTTGTTCCGCACTTTAAATGCTTATAACTGATTCTTGAATGGTACTAATAAGAGTAAGTTGAGATAGGCTTATCTTGCTTCTTAAGGGATTGAGACTTCTCTGAAGGGTCTATCACTGGTCTCTTTCCTAGACTCGTCAAAGCTCAGAACGTTATTGAGTCTATTTACAGTAATACTTTATAATGACTAGGATTTGGGTGTCATATTATTTCTGTCTATAGTTTGATAGATATTCATGGAAAGGAGATAAAGCACATGCTGCTTGATGCTAAACTGAAAATCCTCCATAAGTTCCTTATATATTCCAAAGTCTTAATTCACGGTATTGCTTGAAGGAGATAAATTTTGAATCCTGCTACCAATTTTTACTTAAATGGTAGACTCTCAATCAAAAATTTGAATGTGCATTTTTTAATCCCAAATTTTGTCCATGAAAAATTCCAGTTAATTAATTGGCTTTCGGGGTCGATAGATCATTTGTGGACTCAAAATTTTTATTTGTCAAAGATTTGTCCCTGTATTATTCAACACACATTGCTCTGCCCCTGATTCACAAATCTACAATGTGGATTTTAGCTGGGTGAGCTCTGTACTTTGCTGATTGACAGTCTTTGCTGTTTCTTTCTTAGATTCTGTAATGACGTTTGATCTTTGTTTTCTTCCTCATCAAATTCTGAGTTCAACATTAGTTTTGATAAGGTTATTTTGAATATGGGTATTGGAAATTGGTTCAAACATTGAAGACAGAAGGAGAGAGGGAGTCGCCATTTGCTGGCATATGTCAATAAAGGAAACATAACCTTGATGAGAACAGTATTGTAGGGGCAAAGTTCCACCTCTGTTGATGCTTTTCTTGGGGTCCGGACTGTGGCTTACTTTGGCCACATAGTCATCTATATTCCTTCAATTGTGTACTTAAAACTCCTTCAGTCTATACATCTGCCAGCAAATGATGTGGAAAAAAAAATAATAATAATAATAAAAAGATCTTAAGCCATCTTATTTGCATCACTGGGTCACTCCTGTTTTGTAAGGACTTATACCTGATACTTGCGTTTATTTCCAAATTTAATTTTCGTTCCAACAATTTTGTGTTATTTAAAGGAACATGGTAATAGATATATTCTAGCTCTTTTAGCATACTCTATCTTGTTGATTCCTTTTGTACATTTTGTCTTTTCTTTAATTTTCAATTTCTTTTTTATTTTATTTTATTTTGATTCCCTGTTGCGTTTGAATTTATGTCATAGTTAATTTCTCGGTGCTTCTTGCAACTGCTTAATTTTGTTTTTAGGCTAAACAACACCTTGCGCTGCTATGTTTGGGAGAAATTGGGAGGAGGAAGGATCTAAGCTCGCATGCACATATAGAAAATATTGTTATCGAGTCCTTTCAATCTCCTTTTGAGGAGATCAAGTCTGCTGCATCTTATGCTCTTGGAAATATTGCTGTTGGGAATCTGTCGAAGTATTTACCATTTATTTTGGACCAGATTGATAATCAGCAGAAGAAACAATATCTTCTGCTTCATTCTTTGAAGGAGGTGTGTTCACTGATCTATAAGACCTTCTCAGAGTTCAGTGTTATTTTCTTAATCAGGGTTTGCTTGAACATGCCTACTCTGTCCTATGCTCATCAACCTTTTGCAGGTTATCGTGAGGCAATCTGTGGATAAAGCTGAGTTTCAGGATTCAAGTGTTGAGAAGATACTTACTTTGCTATTTAACCACTGTGAAAGTGAGGAAGAAGGCGTTCGCAATGTTGTAGCTGAGTGTCTGGGTAAAATTGCCCTTATCGAACCTGCAAAACTTGTTCCTGCGCTTAGGGTATGACTTCTATACATTTACTTTAGTATTTAGTATTGCATTTGTTTTGTTACTTTTGGTAAGTAATGCTCTGTTGTTTATGTTTTTGTAGGAACGCACAACCAGTCCAGCTGCACTCACTAGAGCCACTGTTGTCATTGCTGTAAAATATTCTCTAGTTGAGCGGCCAGAGAAGCTAGACGAGATAATCTACCCCGAGATCTCCTCTTTCCTGATGTTAATTAAGGATCATGACCGGGTAATCTTGAAATTTAATTGCTACATTATTTTGTTTCCAATTACCACACATCTCTATTTTAGTTTTACCAATATATATGCATATAATGGTGGTTAGGCGGATAGTGATACAATGGGTTTGGCAGGAATTTTGCAACATTAGCGTGGTTTCTTTAATCATTTTCTTTGTCCTGTTAATGCTATTTTTCTATAGGTGAATATCTGGATTGTTGGGAAGTCTTGGAACATAAGCATATAATCCTTTGTCTTCATTTTGTTTATTTGTTATCCGTTAATTCTTATTTTTCTATTCCTTTCCCCTCCCTTTTTTTTTTTTGTTTTGATTTTTCGTGAATGATTTTGCAGCATGTTAGGCGTGCAGCTGTCTTGGCTTTAAGTACTGCAGCCCACAATAAGCCAAACCTAATTAAGGGTCTTCTTCCAGAATTGTTGCCACTTCTTTATGATCAGACAATTATTAAGGTAACTTAACCTTTCAACTGTCACAATCTTGTTTCTTAAGCATTTTCTTTGTTTGAATGCTACCTATGATATTACCCAAGGAATGAAATTTCCTCCTTAGCATGATATATTTTCTGTGTACAATTTGCATGGATCAGTTGCAAATACTGATGCAATGTAGATTATACTTTATATATTCAACTCTATAATTTGTCATGGTATTGTAATGTCCATATGACATTAGATGCTTTTACATGACGATCACTGATGAAGAAAGCTTCAACACAACATCCTAACTGCTAAGCAGGGACACCAAAAACACAATTGGTTAATGACTCAGATTCCATGGTATCGGTACCCTTTTCCATACACACAATTTTCATCTCCTTTCTTTATTAGGAGACAAAGGATTTGCTAGGAAGGAAGCTTTTCAAAAGCTCTCTGTACTAAACTAGCCATGGGTTCTGGGAAGAAAAGACATAGCCCAAGAACAGGAATAGCTCTTGAGGAATCGAGACCATTATTAGTTGAAAAGGGGCAAAATAGTGGTCCATTTTCTGGTTTTGTGAACTGAGTGACAGCTGCATGTAGTTTTTCAGCATCAATAACAAGCACAAAAGCATGAGAAGTCACCTTGGAAGGAATTGGGGGCTTCCAAGTGAAACTTCCTAAAATTAGATTCTTCACTAATAATAGTCTTAATATTAAAAAAAAAAAAAAAACCCCGCAATGCAGTGTGTATATTATATGTCTACCTTCCAATCTTGCATCATCTAAGCTCAGAAACATGCCCTCTATGTCTTCGACCTTCCAGTTTCTAGATACATCTGAATGTGGGCAAACCATGTTCATTCTTAGTTCTAGAGAGAATAAGTTAATAACCCCATTTAGCCTCCTTGTCAACTACTGTGTTGGGTTTCCGATAAGCAATTCCAGGGGAGCTGAGCCATACCAAACAGATTTCCAAGTCCGGGATGTTTGGAGGGCTACGCCTTTGTGTGTTTGGTGGTGTATTTGGCTCGAGAGGAACAAGAGATCTTTCGAAGGAATATGCTTAAGTTCTCTATTATTTCTACTCTTTTTTTTGTTGGGTTGTAGGGAGATATTATAGATCTTTAGAGGAGATGGTCGATTTTTTGGGCTCCTTGAATGTCTAGAGGCCCTATTTGGCCTTGTGGTGTAGTTCTCTTGGGATGCGCTCCCCTTTTGAGCACTTTTATACAATTTTACTTATCAAAAAAAAAAAAAAAATCCAAAATTTGACAAAAGATGCTTTTTCCGCCAGCTGCTGAGCCACCTTTTGCAAGGGGGAACGGTTTATAACTTTCTTTCCAGAAGTTACAACCATATCATTATATGAGTCAATCATGTGCCTCAGACTGTCATCATTAGCCCCCTATTTGCCTACCGTGTCTTTGTCTACTCCCCTCCCTTCTCTTCCTACTTTAACATTATTGTTATAATGTCAAGAGCCACTTTGCAAACGGGAAGAATGTGGAAAATGAATAGGCCCTGATATTTGGACTATCAAAATCCTATTTTTTTATTTTGTTTAATGGGATTTAAAATCTTCACCTTTCCCTGTGCAAGCATAATTTCTTTGCAAGTTATTACTCTTTATTTTCATCTATTAATTACCATGAGGTGAAAAGAACATAGAAAAAAAGGTGCTGGTGGTTCCAAGTTTCCTAGCAACTCCTGTGGTTGCTTTCTTGTGGTTCTATTACCACATTTTCTTATGTTTGCTTTCACTACTGTTCACTTCATCGTTGTTGGTCCCTCATGGTTATGTATTCCTTTTTCATTTCTGTTGCAGCAAGAACTTATAAGAACAGTTGATCTTGGTCCTTTCAAGCACACAGTGGATGATGGCCTTGAGCTGAGGAAAGCTGCATTTGAATGCGTAGACACATTGTTGGACAGCTGTCTTGATCGAGTGAACCCTTCGTCTTTCATTGTTCCTTACCTTAAATCTGGTTTGGATGGTGAGTTGTTAGCTCAAATATCATTGTCCTTATTTCCCATTTGTTATGCCTTTTCTTTTTGTTGTGGAGTTTAATGTTAGTGCATTCCTTTCATTTTTATCATTTAGTCGTATCCTAGATATTCTGTGATCTACTTTTTTCATGGAAATGGTTATAGTTATTGTTGTTTTTCCTCTCTAATTGTTTGGCATCTTCCTTGTTAGTCTCTTTAAGATTTGAGAGTTGGGAATTCCTTAAGTACTATTATTTGTCATTCAATTTGAGGTATGATTGTCATGGTGATAATATAATTGAGTCGAATAAGTAAGAACCTTCTATACTAATTTGGATATTGGTTTTCTACAGATCATTATGATGTTAAAATGCCCTGCCATCTTATTCTCTCAAAACTTGCGGATAAATGTCCTTCTGCTGTATTGGCAGGTCAGTGTGTCATTTCATTTTGATTTTAGGATGTCCAACATGCGTCTAGCATTTACATCTGATTCCAAATTAATTTTCTTTTCAGTTTTAGACTCGTTGGTGGATCCTCTTCAGAAAACTGTCAATTTTAGGCCAAAGCAAAATGCTGTCAAGCAAGAAGTTGATCGTAATGAAGACATGATTCGGAGTTCTCTTCGAGCAATTTCATCCTTGAATCGCATAAGGTGCGGCCCTTAAGCTTTTCATGTATTGTATAAATACATATATATATGTGTCAAAAAAGGAACGCACTATTGCACCTCCTAAGAAGCATGGACACTTCCAGAGTAGATACCGATAGTTCTTCGACACTCGTTGATATGTGTTCTATGCATCTTGAACACATCCATAATTTAAAAAAAAAATAGTAATAATTTTGGACACTTGTTCAACAATTCTTGACTAATGAAACTTGAACATTGAATTTATATCAATGGTTATTGTCTATAAATTGTGGATGGAATATGCGAGATGGTTTTTCACACTTCTAGTGTGGATCTTTTTGGTTCTCTTTTGGGGTGAATTGTATTAGTTTCTAATATGTTGAATTGGTCATGGACAATTCAATTGTGTGTTATTGTAAATAAGTAACCTTGTTTTATTAACAAGGAATGCAAAGGTTTGGGTCCTTCAGGAGTATTTATTTATTTTTGATAAGCAACTTAAGGAGTATCTATGTATTATATGGACAAGATTAGTCTGTTATGTTGCTATGAAATTTACCTCTCTTACATTACACCCCAGTGGGTCTTGGCAAATGCATATTGTTTATGTGTGTGTATTTGCAGTGGAGGAGATTGCAGTCTCAAGTTCAAGAACCTCATGAGTGAAATAGCGAAGACTCCAACTCTGTGGGAGAAGTATTGTTCTGTTCGGAATGAGTGATGAAGAAGAAGATGATTCCGAGCTTGTTTCAACTTGTTGCTGCAAAGAGTGAAAGAGAGAACACTGTCCTTGATTTCTTGGGACAAGTATCTCAAAAAAAGGGTTATACACCACATGGATGGGGAGTGACGCTTGATATGCTTGCTTGAAGGGAGCTTATATGGAAAGGTCAACATCTCTTGTTTTCGTCACAGAATATTGGATATGGTCTTTCCTTGTATAGGGTAGCATCCTTTGCCTAATATTTTCTGGCTCGCGCTCTTTATCTGTTTTGTACGTTAATGGAAATTGTCAACCCTATACTGGCTATCCTTCCCCATCCTCCACCCATCACGGGCCTGGATATAGAATACCAATTCTCATTTTTGAATGGAAACCATTTAAATTTATAGAGTAATTGTAAGGTTTGTCAGATGTGCTGCAATCTGTTCTATTGTTTTGGTTGTTATTGTTATGCCAGCGAAGTTTTACTTCAAATATGATCGTCTGCTGTTTATGTTGCCCAAATGTGGAGTGGTTAAAACAAAGGAGTGGGAATTTTTAATTGTGACTTTGCAGGTAAATTTTAGATGCCATTAAATTTTTGTCCTCCTATTCCAGCTTCCCTCCCTCTCTTCTGCCAGGATTACTATCCCGATTGATTGTCTGCTACGACGAAGGAACAAGACATGGGTTGGGCTGCCTCAAAGAGTTCACACGTGTGGTGCACAAGGGAGCTATTTTTAGATGGTCGCGATCAATAACCATTAGCTAAATAATGTGTACCGTTGTGATTGGCTTGGGATCATCATGTAATAACTTTTTGACACCTCATGGTCTGACACAAACAAATGTGCAAGCATGGTGATTGACGAGCACCAATGATTCTAGGATCATGCATGGTGATCGACCAGCATCAGGATCAAGCAATAATTTCTCGAGGGTTTGTGTATTCTAGCTGTGATTGATTGGCTTGTTTACAAGATTGGGTCAGTCTTAAGCAAAACAATATATAATGAAAAAACAAAATAAACAAATGGACATAATAGTAATACAAGAAGTAAAAGACAAAATAATAGATTACATGATACAAAATTGTAAGTAATGCTATGGGAGAAAGCCTACAATATTTAGTAAAGAGCAAGCCTACAATATTTAGGAAAGAGCAACATCTTACAAACACTCCAAATATTAAAAACACTCCAAATATTAAAGCATTCAATGCCTTCAACTTGGCTTCCTTTAAATAGAGGGAAGGTAATGTAAAGTGCTAGCAAGAAACATTATATTTGACCTTCACATGTTATGGGTTACGTGTCCTAAAGATTTGTAAAGTCGAGTGGGATAGTTTTTTTTTTTTTTTTTTTTTATCATCAAATAGAGTGATTTTAGGAGTATGTGTAAGATAAAATAAATGTTATTTTAACATTAATTTGTTTCTTTTCATCTTTTGATATTTTTTAATTTGTATTAAGAATTTTAGTTTTGATTGTCCTTTTTATTATGGCTCTGATACCATATTTTGATGTTCTAAAACTAAAATGAGTTTTAGGCCTAATTTAAAAATAAACTTTGTAATTCTGTAAAAGATCGGATGACAAGAACCTAATGCAAAATTTAATTGCCCAGAATATGGATAGATATGTTGAGGGAAATGCTGTAAAAAATCGGAGGACAAGAACATCAATAAGGACAATTTAAGTAATTAATTCTTTTTTACTTTTTATGTTATGCAAGTCCACATAACGAAATTCTTCTAAAGCTATTCTAAAAAAATTTCATTTAAACCAATACATAATGCAAAATTTTATTTTATTTAATTTTTCTTGTAAATTTTTTGTTTTCTCCCAGTCTAGGGTTTTGCCACGGAGTTCTCTTTTCCAAGAGTCAAACGGAGGGGAACAATGAAATTCAATGGAAAAGGTTGAGGTCACTTAACTATTACATAAAATTAAGGGGACTTTACTGCAACTATAATAAAAAATCTCTTAACAAAATAAAAACCCATACTCTCCATCTCCCTCTCCCTCTCTCCTCTCTCTCGCACTGGGACTTCCGATTTCAGTTCATCATCAAATATTCAAATCTGTTCGAAATTTATTCACCAAAAAGTTACAAAGATAGATAATAAATAACATGGAAGGTGGAGAAGAACTCAGCATAGAAGAAATTGCTTCAAATCTCTCTACTTACAAGGACCAGCTTCACCAGGTAACTACTATAACTCTATCTCTATCTATGTATATATGCACACGTATACATATACACACACATATAAATATTCATCTTATTATTCCTCATGAATTCTTTTTTGGGCTAACAAACAGGGTTCTTCGAGATTTTTGTTCACTTTTGTTGAATTATGGTGTTTTCAATTGCTTTTCTCTTGAATGTGATCTTTATGCGTTAATTTGTTTGTCTTTTGAGTTAGTCTAATGTGAATAATTGAAGGTTTAAATTACTTGAATTCACACGAAATTAGGAGTTCATTTAAAGTCCCCAATTTAAATTCGTTGAAGAAACAGTTTTGGGTTTTATGCTACAGTTGCGATTTCTTGGGCTTAGGTACACAACTTTGTAATCACTTGATATTCTTGATTCAGATAGCTAGGGCCTTTGTGAAGCTGAATTTTAAGGCTCGCTAATACAAGAAAAGCAAAGGTTTGACATTGTTGGATCATAAAGTAACCTTTTGGCATTACATATAAAAAATAAATATATCACTCAGCATAAGTATGCTCTTGACCCTTTGTCTCTAATATGTCTCACGGGCGCTTAAAGTCCTCTAGAAATAATAATAATAATTAAAAAAAAGCTGGAATCAGAATATGGACTAACTTTTTAACAAAATTATTGAAAACTAGCGGGAAGCTTGCTAGTTGCTATACCTATATTTGACTCCATGTAGAATGCTTTCTGTTTTAAATATATCAAGTGTATGTTATCATAAATTTTAATTCATCATCATAAAAAGTTATGGATTGCGTACAAGAACAAATTTCATAAATTACACACTATAGATTTACCCGTAGTAATTTCATGCAATACACATATGTCTTTCACTATGGGTATGTATTTTGTTTATATAATAATCACAGCAAAGTCCCCTTAATTTTCTATAGTAGTTTAGTGGCTCAACCTTTTCTATTGGATTCAGTTTTCTTCCCTTACGTTTGACTCTTGGAAAAGGGAACTCCGTGGCGAAACACTAAACTTTAGGCTTGAAAAATTTTAAAAAAAAAAAAAACCTGAAAAGTTGCGAAAAGGAAAATTAAAATCTGTATGATATTTGGGTGAATGAAAAATATGATTACCCATAGGCTTTGCTGCCTTTGGTCAGATTATGTTAGTGAATTTTGTCTTAGTTTATCTCGCGCGGGTACTACTTCAATATTCCAGAATTGTATTTATTTATAATTTTTCTTGTTTTATCACACAACATCTCAACATCCACATTCCATTCAAAATTATTTGATGAATATCTAATTTTGTACCTGTCTAACATTTTGTTCAAAATGTATGGCCGGTCCAATAATCTTTCATAGAATCTAACTTTGTGTTTTTGAGGTATACGTTAGTTGCATGACATGCAAGAAACACTTCTCTGTTGCATCAATTTGTGCATTTATTCTATGAGCAGCACCTGGGCACTCGCTAAATGCTTTGATTCTATGAGCAACTCCAGGACAATCCCAAACTTCTTTCTCAGCAGACTTTCAGGATGAGCTTCCTGCGTGATCTCTAATCTCTCACTCTGTGAATAATCAAGGATAGATAATGAATTTTTTTTCCTTTTATTTGGGTGTCTTTTGATCACTGGTTTTTAGTACATTTGCACTTGTGTTTATAGTTTTGCCATACTTAGAATCTCTATATTTGGCTTTAGTCCTGTCTATCTTAAAGACTTAAAACACTCTTAATTTTACAGCTTCTTTCTAGACCTCTAACTTAATACTTATCTATGGTTTAGTTTTACTAATAAGATGATGTCATCAGAATATAGCATTCATCATGGAACCTCATTCTCGAAATGCTTTATCAGTTCATTACTGTTCCTTGGTGAAAAGATTTGTTTTTATAAATGTTTTTGTGTATGTATTCTTTTATAACCACGACTCTCTCCCCACCCATAAATCAGGTCAGAAAGCTTTTGGATGATGACCCTGGAAACTCTGAGTACGCTGACATGGAAAAAGAGCTTGTGGAGGTGATTCTCATGCAGTTAATTCTTGTGAATTAGTTTTTGGTTTATCATTTTGGTATTCTTTTCTTAATGTAGGTCTTCCTTGGGAATTTCATCTAGTATCTATTCCTCAAAAGGAATAGACTGGAGCTTAGCATCTGAATATTTGTTTTGAGGAGACAGAGTTCATTTTCTTTGCGCTTAAAGGGATCACAATTTCATTTTCTTCGTTTCTAAAGGGATCACAAATTCATTTTCTTCGTTTCTAAAGGGATCACAAATTTTATTATAGTTGATTATTTGTCTGTAATAGTTTTTTAGAGTAGTTTTCTCTTTTTGTGTGTCTCTTTCTCAAATGATTATGTTGTTCGAACCAGCAACATTGATTAATTGCCAATGACTGCAGAGGATTGTTTTTTATTCCTGGGTTCTTAAGGTGAGGTTGGTGTTTATGTTAAAATGAATTCTATACAGCTAGAAATGAGAACTGTGGAGAATGTACAAAATTGATGCAGCTAAATAACATTTTATAAACGTGTCCATTACTTGTATCTTGGTTGCCATGCAGGTGTGCTATGTGTCATGAATCTTATGATGGCCAGGCTGCCTCTCTGTCTCCTGATTTCAGATGTTCACACTGAGATTCTAAGTTTGAATTTCAACTATAATTTGGCTTTTATTACGAAAATAAGTATTATTTTAATTTGTTCTTGGCTAATTTTTTTGGGTGCAGGTAATTGCTCTGACAGAAGAACTCTTGGCCACTGCGAAGCAGAGTGAGAATTCTGGATTGAATATTGGAACAAGCGTTGATGCCTCTCCTAGTTCACACCATTCTGGGGGTACTTCTCCGCATAATATGGTAAATATTATATAATTTATATCATCACTTCAAATTGTTTAATTCAACTTTGTTTGTTTGGGTTGGTTGGGAGGTATGCCTTATGTTTCCATCAAGGCAACATTTCCTTAAGAGAGGAGAAAAGATCAAAGTCAACAGCTTTTATGCAAAAGAATGGATTTGTCAGAGTTTCAACAGCTTTACTTAGAAATACTTTCAAAGCCATTTAGACAGCTAATTGTAAATATATATAAAATAAATAAATAAAGAAGTGTGTTTTTTATTTACCTCTGAAAGAGTTTCTAACTGCTCAGGTGAGATATCTTTTTAGCCAATTTAGATTTGCTGTACTTTGACCAGCATTCTGTACAGGGGCGAAAACTTATTTTGTTAAATGGTTATGGTGTTCTGCTAATATAGTTGATGTAATATGGCACCTTGATCTGTATGCCATGTCAGAACTTTCATGTTAGTTGGTGTTTCTCACTTTTGGGTACCGTGAGTGCTGAATCTGAACTGTCATGTTACCCAATGCAGCTTGCATTGGACATTGTGTAGCACACAAAAATTTAATATTCTCAGTTGGGTCATGAAGTGCTTGATGACTGTTACATGTTACATATACATCAACATGATCCTACAAGAAAAATAGCTGTGCCTTCTCATTTGCATTTGCCTTTTTGATTGTTAAGTTGTTTGTCTGATTTGTCAGACAGTTTTTTAAAAGGTTAAGGAACTTGAGCTTTTCCAATAAATTTCGGCTTTAAGAGGGTAAACTAGTGCAATCTTTTAATTGCGTATGTGTCCCAATGTGAGCTGTATTTCTCTGTATTTTATATTTGTGCTCATATTGTGTTATGTCTCCGCGGCCGCCCCCCCAACCCCCCCCCCCCCCCCCCCCCCCGGCGCGCCCGGTTTCCTTTTTTTTCATCAGGAACTAAGAAACATCTCTGACCATTCTGACAAGTTTCCTGTTGGCACCAAAGTTCAAGCTGTGTGGAGTGAAGATGGGGAGTGGTATGTTAAATTAAAAGAGAGAGATCCAACTTCTCAATCAAGTATTTCTTTTATTCATTTAATTTTCATTTACTTTACTGTTTTCTTTTTCTTGTTCTTGTTTTATTGGTTGAATGTTCAGGTATGATGCAAGGATCGAGGCATATACTCCAAACGGGTATTTTGTTTGTTATGATGGATGGGGTAATAAGGAAGAGGTATGATTTGCATTGCCACTCTTTAGAATCACATACCTGTTATTTCGATCCATTGCACTTCTAAATCATCATGTGTTGATTTTCTGTTTATTCTGGTTATCTTAATAAAAATCTTGTTTGAGGTATCTAATATATGGGGGCCCATTAACTATAATATATATTATTTATAGTTTTTTTTTTTTTTTTTTTTGCACAAATCTATGGAACAGAATTTATTGTGTAGTTATCCAACTTATTAACCAGTAGTCATATAAAGCAAGTAATCGTAGCTGACTTAAGACCCCCATGCAGTTGTCTTTTACCCTATGAAAAATATTCAATTGGCGGGGATAATTTTAATTTAATAATACTACAAAAGATTCTTGGGTAGATGGAATCAACTACAAAAGATTCTCTTACGCTCTGTTTGGGTAGATGGAATCAACTAGAAAAGAATGTAAATAGAAAATTTTAATGTTTATACATACATATATATATATATATATATATATATATATATATATATATTTGGAGTTTGGATAGAATGAAAAAGGAAAGGTTGTGGAAAATTAGGATCCCCGCAACTGGCTATTTTAACCCAAAAAAATTCCCGAAATTATTTTTGTGTGAAAGCAGTGCCTTTCTATTTACTTTCCTATTTTACCCAACAACTTTATCATTTTTCTACTGGGTGTAAGTTACTATTTTACCCAACAACAACTTCATCATTTTTTTACTTGGTTCAAAGAACTGCAGACCAACAACAACTTCTGACATTCACCTAATCTGAATACCTGTTTCCTTATTGAACTAGATTGCTTCTAGTCTTTATTAGTGAATAGATTTCTGATGTGAGTCAGTTGCTGTTGCCTACCGCAGCTGATAGTACATTGCAACTTGCAGTAAAGATGAGGTCTATGAAACTGAGACAAGACTCTAAAGGTGTTAAGAGCAAGGACCAGTGAAACACAAATTTATGTTAGTATTCTACTAATTTATATAATAAGGGCAATTTAGGTAAGTACAAATATTTTCTAGTAACTTTCTTGCTATCCAAACTTAAGATGGTATTTTCCTATGACTTTCTTGAAAAAAATTCACGCTAACCAAATGCATGCTAGAAAATCAATTTTCTTTTCTTTAACTTCACTTTCTTTTCTTTTCACTTTCCACTATTATTTTTCTAACGAAACGAAGCCTTAGTGATTATAACGAGAATCAGATCCATGCCATTGATGTTCAAAGGTAAAAATGTGTTTTTTCCCCTTTGCTTATACTCCTACTTGTGTGCCCGCTTCTTCAGTAAAACATTCCTTCTCTTGTTTCCTAAATTCCTAATTATTATCAAACTTTATATAAAGTTAATATGAACTTTTAATTTTATCTTTCTTACAATTATGCTTTGTAATTTTCTTAAAAGGAATTCTAATTCAACTTTCAAGTTTCATCAGTCACATAGTCAAAGTGTCAACCGAGTGTCCGAAATTAAGAATTTTATTTTTAAACTATGGACACATGTTCAAGAGTGTCCACAATTCTCGATGTTCAACATGGATACAACTCCTTTTTAGAAGTGTCCATGCTTCTTAGCATGAGATCAATGACATTTCTTAAGATGTGGTCTCTTCTACTGATTTGGTGCACAGATTAGCTAACTAGGAGGCAGATTTCTCATCGTAGTGCAGTCCCTATTTATTAGAATAGTTTAGGGACTATTTTTATCCCTTCCGGGAAATCCATTTTTAGTTATTTTTTTGTTTCTTTTCTTTTGAAGGACATCTTGTTCTTTTAGTCCTTAATGACCTCTTTATCAATGATGGTTATTTTTCTTATTTTGAAAAATATATCCCCCAACATATGATATCAAGGGTGGGAGTGGGATGAACAATTGCTCATGTATTTTAAAGTTAAACCTGTCGATAGTGTAATGTACAAATTTCTATTTTTTCGATAGAAGACACAGTTTTTTAAATAAAAGGAAAAATACCAGAATGACAAGAAAAAGAAACATTCTATTAGATGGTTCAAGAAATCAACCTAAGCAGAGCCCACATGAATCACTCCTAACAGGGTAAAACTATTCTGTGAATTGTTGATGAGACACTGCACCTCTTTTAGAGAAATAAGCCTCTGAGTTTGCAACTCATAGATTCCATCACATCTCCACTTTTTTGGATCTAGATAAATTTTAAGTTCCCTAAATGAAATGACCATTCTGCCAGGGCCCTAGCAACCATTTCTCATCCAATTGAAACGACTGAGCAATTGCCCTCAACTAGAAACGTCTATAAACCTTTAAGTTGAGCTTTTTGAATAGGCTTATATTCACTCTTATCATCGCTTTCACGACAGGCACCGTATACTCCCACTTCTGTTGCATAATATTTACCTGTTGTCATCACATTTTTCACCTCCTCCCCTAGTTTCATGACCACACTACCTCTTTGCTCACGTCATCTCTGCCAATGCCAATAGCCCATACATCAGGTGATTCAGGCCCATCACCTCCTCAATCACTGCCACTACTGCTACTGTTGTCACTGCCTGTGACTTTGCTGTTACATCAACACCATATAGATATACATATTTCCCACTTTTAGTAAAAACACTTTTTTTTAGTCACAGTTAACAGAGCATGCTTTTGAGTTTTCCTTCTAAAGCTTAACCAACCCTTAGTCACCTAGTCTTTAATCTTATCCTAGCATTTCTTTCGAACCCAGTCCAATGTATTATTTAGCTATATAAAACAGCAAAAAATAAATTATTCATGATTTTCTTTAACCTTTATTTAATGCATGTTACTCTGAATTTTTTCTTTTACTCCCTTTTGATTCTATCTTCTCTTTCCCTTGGTTCTAATATTTTTCTAAAGAATCATCAGTAGTGTACTGACACGAGCTGATTCCAGGTGGATCCTGCAAATGTTAGGTCAATTAAAGAAGGGGATGGCGATTCTTTACTGGATGCTGAGAAGGAAGCTGAGGCTACTAAACAAGCTATTAAACGGAAGATTGCACAAGCAGCAGCTGTGGACTTTCAGTCACGGAGTTTACCAGCGAAGCTTCTTATAGATCCTAATGACCCAGAAGATGTGGTAAGTACATTGATGTTCAATTTTTAACCCTTGGCTCAGGTCTTAGGATCGATTCCTGCTAGGTGCAAACAATTCCTTGGAGGGGGGGTGTGTGAGTACCAACCAGGGAAAAATAAAAAATAAAAATTTAACCCTTGGCTCTAGAATAAATGATATTTATATATTCCATTTCTGGAGCTTTTTCTGTAATCATTTTTCCACTCTGAATTGGTTGTTTTCTTGGCAGTTGATTAACTTAAAAGAAACTTTTTTCCACTTGGATAAGACCTTGTCAGAATTTTAATTGGTCAAGTAGAGCCTTTTTGAAATTCCAAAAAGGTGTTCAGTGAGTTCAACCTAAGGTTCTCTGGTTCAATATTTTTCTCAAAATTAATTTCTAAGCAGCTGCCTGCAACTTTGGATCCTGTCTGCAAATAATTTTTTTTTTGTTTTGATTTGTTTCAGCTGCCTGATTTTTCAGTTTCTGGAATAGTACCCATATCTTCGGCCCGGGGGGGGGGGGGGGGGGGGGGAGATGGGGTGGTGGGGGTTGTTGTGGGAGAGAGAGCATTTGACATTTTTAGTTGTTCCCCAGCCAATCACTCATCCAAAATATTTATATCTACTTATGAGGTTGACTTTAATGGTTATGGTGCTCGGGCTTCATTGATTTATGCGTTGATCTAGTTTCCTTTTTCTCCCATGGAATGATTTCATGAGTCCTTAATTTTTTTTGGAACCAACCCTAATATTTACAGAAAGCTGCCAAACGTAAGAAGATACACTCTTTCAAGTCAAAGATGCGGATGGAGCAACTTGAAGTCACACAGAATAAGAGGCAAAATTCTTGGCAGCAATTCCAGACTGCCAAGGGTCGCACTAAGAAGGTCTGATTGGCAACCATTCTTGGGTTTATAAAGTGCACCATTTGATCTTACTTAAATGAACACATTATTATGCTACTCACGGTTAACAAACACCAGTTGATGCCCTGGATTTTTTAAGAGGGAAGGATGGCAGTAGTTGTTTGTTTGATATCATTCTTGCATGCCATACTAGTAGAAGTTGTTAGTTTCAATGCCTCAGTAGATTAGTTACCATGTCTCTCCCTAATAAATCATTTTCAGTCGGTAGTTTTACATGTGGAATCCACAAATGGACGATAGTTCAGCTTTCGTTTGCTCTTTGAACCTACAAGATTGTGAAAATGGATTGTGATCCCAATATTGTTGTTTGATGTTGAGTTTTTCCTAGATTAATGAGAAAAAATGTTTCATATTATTAGAATTATTTTGAAATGCTAGCTGGGGAAAAAAATTGTCCATGAGGGCCTTGGTCCTTAATTCAGAAATTAATATTTGGAAGGAATCGATTACAAATTTTATTTCTTCCCATGTTGACTTTGCGTGTCCTAGGTGCGGGCAGATGGGGCACTGCGTGATAGAGTGCACAGTAAAAATTCTTGTCGTTGAGGAAGATAATGAAGAGAGGAAGACGGGAAGATTTGAATAGAGAGGCTAATGTTGCTATAATATGACATTTTTTTCTTGAAATCGTATGAGATGTGTAGGATGAAATCTTAGGCAAGTCCATCAAGGCTGCCCTACGATCAAACTGTGGTAGGCTGGGATTTAATTTTAGGGGTTTTCATTAAGAAGGTAAAAGAGTAAGGCGTTGAATTGGTTGTGGCTTAAGGCTAACTACTTTTTTGTGAAATCTAAAAGAAATGTTTGCTGGAATTTCTGGACAGTCACAAACTAAGAATTGAGGGCCAGAATTTAATGATGGAGGGGTTAAGGGTAGGGGGACTAAATTTGGGTGATGAAGATCTGGATGCCGGAACTAAAGCAAATGAGAAGAAAGAGAATGAAAACCATAGAATCTATGGTTTCAACTAGAAAATATTAAATCTTGATGGAATTTTTATTGATGAAAACTTGTTCAATTATCTCTACAAAGTTTGCTTATATAGAAGCAGTGACTATATCATACTAGACGAAGAAATTTCTTGATTTAACTAATTCCAAACAAATAAAAGACTTGAAATAACCCAATATCAAACTCCCTTAGACAACTTACAGATAAAATAATTACTAAATTTAGTTACCACCCAAGGGTTGTAGCCCGGTGATATCTCCTCTACCTCCTAAAATGGAAGGTTGAGATTCAAGTCCCCATATGGGCAAAGTGGGTGGAGTTCTTTGTCAGGAAAAAAAATTACCAAGTTATCCACAGCATATTATCAGAATGCCCCTAGTTGAAATTTTGATTCTTCCTAATCAATAGGTCCACAAACATGGTTCAAAGATGTAGACGTATTGTTGTAATGTAACATAATCGTTTATTGCCCTCTCGAAATTCTCTCCCCCAATCATAGGTCCACAGACATGGTTCAAAGACGCAGACGTGGGGTCATATCTGGTATAACCATATAATGTAACAGATTTGTTGACTCTGCCGAGCAAGGACTCTGCAGTCTTAGCCGATTCTCTAGGGTCTCGGATGAGACTAACTGATTCCCTAGGAACTGGACATTTCTTTTTCTTCTCCTGCAACAAGCATACATTTAAGGCTCTGGTCCCTTTAAGCATGCATTTTTTCCCTTCTCTTTAGTTATGCTCTTGGTGAAATATTAGTAATAAGATGTATACTCACATGCCCGAAGTTATATATGGGTTCACGTGCTAAGCCATAACTTGGCACAAATGGATTTAGATAGATCTAATCTCTAGCTTTATCGGGATGAAGTGGCTACCTAAGTTCTCATGCTTGATGAGCAAAGCTTTTATCGTTACACCAAACCTTTATAAACAATTGTCTTCATTAAAGAAATGGTTATTCTTTGGTATATTTGTTCATCAATCTTAACTGTTTTATCATTTTTCATTGTAGTTCTGTTCATCATATGTTACATATATTTAGGGTCTCGTTACTTCTTCATTCTCTAGCAATTTCATCAGAATTCTTAGGATTTGCTTACACTAGCTTCATTGTGCTTAATTGTATTACCAGTGAATATCCCTCATAATAGAAGCTCAACTTAAATCTATCCAGTTAATTCATTCAATTTATTGATCATATGTGTTTAATTTTTGGTTTGATTAGTTTGGTACCTTGTGACATGCTTCAGTTCTTCGAGTAATAGCGCTTATTTGTGATTAAATAAGAGAGTAGATTTAGGTGGTATGGTCATATTAAACGGGATGAAATAATTAGAAATAATTTTTAAAAACTAAATATAGTAGGAGACAATAGAAAAGATTGGAAAAGGAGAATTCAGGTGGTCAAACTTATCCATAGGATTAAGGCAAGGATGTGGCCCATGTGGGTGGGTTTGGGGGGGAGGGGGAGTCCAATTTGTGTCATGTAGGTATTTCACTTGATTAAATTACTTGTGTCTGCATGACATTGGTAATACACCCTATGATTGTATATTGCATGGCATCTTTTAGATGCATGTAGTGGTTTTACTTTGGCATGTGAAGAGATGATGAATTTTGTTTTAATGTTATTGACACACGCAGGCTTGAGAAAGTTTTGTGTAATCCTTGAGCTGATTTAATGTATGTCTAGAAATGTGTACCCCTTTCCATTTTTTTTTTTTTTTTGTGTGTGTGTGTGTGAGAGAGAGAGAGAGTGTGTGCATGTTCCTGGCAAATAACACACACCCACCCACCCATTTTGCTCTTCCCAACCTTCCTTGTCGGAAAGTTTGAGGAGATACCAATGGCTACATCTCATGAATTGATAAACATTTTCACAATTGTTGTACACTGGAGTAATCTAAAATATGTGGTTCTGCATGTTGCACCACTTCTTGTTCAATTTACAGAATCTTATTTCATATTACTGTCTTACCATCAGGTTTTAAATTTTTATTTCCTGGCTGTATTTAATATCTTTTTTTTTTTCTTTTTTTTTCTTTTTTCACATTCATAGATTGGTTTCTTCTCGGGGCGCAAGCGAGAGAGCATCTTCAAGTCTCCAGAGGATCCAACTGGTAAGGTTGGTGTGACTGGAAGTGGGAAAGGTTTGACGGAGTTTCAGAAGAGGGAAAAACATTTGCATCTCAAGGGAGCAAATGCTGAGACTGACGAATAGATAATTGAGTTGATCTTGAGTTTCTTCTCTATCTTGATTTTATCTTCTTACGTGAAAGTAAATTACAGCTTTGCTTTGTAGTTTTTTTTATTGATACCTTGTGCATGGATCTTGAGGTAAAAATATGCTGAGAGATGCCGTTCCATCAGGCCTGTTACGATGTAAGAGATGAATTGATATATGCAGAAGGGAGCCTGCTGCAAATCTTCCATTGTGTACAACACTTCTGCTACAAGGAGTGTAAGATAATGAGATGACAGAATGTTGCTCAAAGCCTTACCTTCTTTTCTTTTTTTCCTTTTTTTTTTATTTATTATTTTTCTCTGGAAGGTCTCAAAGCCTTAATGTGGGAATCCGAAGGCACATCAGATGTTATTTATTTAGTATAAAGTGACAAATTAGTTGAACATCCTATTGGTAGGGCAGAAAGAATTTATTTATTTCATCAGGACAAGATGGAAAAGGCTGGTTGATTATGCGTAATGGTCTAACTTGTGGGGAAAAGGGAAAGAAAAAATTTCAGTCAGGAGCAAAGGCATTAGAAGAAGAAAGTGGTGTGGTGTGGTGTGGTGTGGTGTGATAGGGAAGAGAACTATCTTTTTGGTTCTACAAAACCCTAGTGTGTAGTGCTTTGAGGTGATATCCTATAAATTCTTTCAAATCTTCTCCTTTCCTTCTCTGATGATCCTGCAATCTTTATTACTTTTTGAACTTCGAAACATAGTGAGGAAGGTTGTTAAGCCTACTTTCTCTGAAAAGGGTGGACGTGCCATTCTCTGATAGGATTATTAGAAAAGTACAAAATTAAAGATGAAAAGGGTGTTTGAAAAGAAAGGCATTAAGAGGAAAAGATAATATATATTGTTTCATTGCATTGAAGACCAAAAATATGAGTTCTTTGCACCAAACATTCTTCTTATGACTACATAAAGTCTCCTTTATCCTTGCAAAAACAGGAGCGAAAGATAATAATATGTTGCTTTTACCTCCTTTTTTTTTCTTTTTCTTTTTTTTTTTTGTTTGGAAAGTTGATTTGGAGTGGGGATTTGAGAATCTTTTCTCTGGTTGGGAAGAACTTCATTGCAAGCAAAAATGGAACAGAAACTACAAGGAAGAGAAAAAGCATCAAAGTTTGCTCCCGAGACCACTTAAAGAAGCCAAACAGAGGAAGAACACCCTAGAGAAGCCCATGCTTGGCATTGATGGGTTTGAGAAATGCCCCTAAAACAAAGCTCTTTTCTTTATATGAAGGTCAATTATTGTTATGCTTGCATATCCGAAATGAAACGTATCTATAATAAGTGAAACTTTTGCTATTCATACAAATGTGTTCTTGTCAGCAGTTCCAACAAAATTCATGTATGGAATGATCACATTATTTTTTCCTGAACTTGTTGAGATTTGGACTTATGGGCTTAGTGTTTCCAAGTGTTTAATTGTTAGTCTAGATGGATGTGGGGGCTTAAGTTCAAGAGGAGTAAAACAATTCCTTCAATTACTATTACCTAATAAATATTTACTACCTACACGAGTTAAGTTGTAGTTCGGTTGAGTCATAAACTTGTCCGGTTTTGCCTAGTGCACGTAGCTTGTGGGGTGTTACGTGTGCCCTGAGGTTGATTAGTGTCACCCGTAAGGTGTGGGGATACCTCCTCTATATTAAAATATATATAAATTTTTAAAAAAAAAAATAAAAAGAAATAAGAAATAAGTCTCAATTGGCACATCTGTCTCTAGATTACACAATAGTGTGACTAGTGGTGCAAACTACTATCAAATGCATGAAAGACAGGGTTTGATGCCTTGTAAAAGCCATGGTAGGGGCCATGCTATCTTTTACATCTCTCTCTCTCTCTGACTTTGGATTACACAATGGTGGTATGCACAAGTGGTGCAAACTATTACCCAATGTAGGAAGAGAAGGATAGAGCTTGATGCCATGTCAAAGCTATGGAGGGGCCATACTAGTCTTTTAGCCAACATATTGATGAACTTTGGGCTACTTAGTGTTAGGAGGATAGGAATTGAGAAGGGTCACTAGAACATGTTTGAGACATGTCTCTTTGTATAAAGGTTGATGCTTGAGAATATGACAAGAAAATGGGGACATCTTTCCTAGTAGATCTCTCTCTCTCACTCTGAATCACTTTTCTCATTGACTTTATCCATAGGGGTTTCATTATGTTTTGTGAAAATGCATCACATCACAATAGTTAGAATTGCTACCCCTACATTCAAGTAACTAAAAGCAAAAGCTAGTCACAAGCCCACCACTTGCATATTCCCTTTTTGTCATTCAAAATATGCAATGAGGTCGTCCCCATAATCAAGGAATGACACTGATGTAGTAAAGGAGAATGCATTGAATCTTGCAAATGGGATTACACCTAAGTTCCTCATAGATCCTTATGACCAATTCATAGTCCTAGGGACCCTTTGAAAAGTGCATCCTCTTTTCACCTATAATTTGCAACCTTGAACATTTTATTTACTATCGTTTATCAAATGAAGTGCTTAATTAATTAGGTTTTTGAAGTACTTAACTATTTAAGTGCCTAATTAATCAAACTAATCCAAGATAGCGTTCCAAATAATTGGTTGGTGGAATGGTAATAGCTAAGAGTAATCAATCACAAGAACATAGGTTCAATTAAATATGAAACCAGTCACTTTACAGATTATGTTGTATCCAGTTCATCGTTCTTAGTATCATTCAAAACGAACATTGGTAAACGACCTTTTTACATATTCTTTATAACAAAGTATAAAAGAAATACATAAGATTACCTATATAATTAAACAAACTAAACCAAGATAGTCCTCGATAATTGTTTGGTGGAATGGTAATGGCTAAGGGTTGTCAATCACGAGAATATAGGCACAATTAAATATGAAACCAGTCGGTTATGTCTGTATGCAATTCTTCGTTTTTAGTATCATTCAAAAACCAACATTGATTAAGGACTTCTTTACATTAGCCTTTATAACAAATATAACAGAAATACATAAGATTACCAGCCTACAAGGTGCCCTCATGGCATTAATCCTTCTAAATACTTTTACAAATAGTACTATAACCTAAAAGGCTTCCTTTTGGCATCTCTTATATTCCCCTATTTCTCATACAAGCTATATAAATATATATATATATATATATATATATATTATGTATATATAATGGCATTCAAGCCATATTGTCATCTGCAATGTTCTTTGAAGAGTTGAAGCCATGGCGGTTGACATCTTCGCCAATCGAATCATGCTGTGTTGAGGCTGATAAAGATAGATTTTGAGAATACCATCTTGACCAAAAAAGATAATTGAGGAAGTTAATGAAGCTTAGAGCTGCTAGCAACCAGTAGAAAAGGTCCAGCCTATCTTTGTTGAGATCATTATCACTGAGCCAACCTCCATTAGATGATGATGAATGTGATGAAGTGATCTTGTTCACCAGAGAAACAAGTAGAGAGCTTAGATAGAAACCAAATGAATATGAACAATAGGTGATGGCTGTTAAAAATGATTGCATCCCCTTCAAGGGCTGTTTGTAAAAGAACTCAATGAGGCCAACCGCAGTTAACATTTCTGATAATCCAAATATCAAGAACTGTGGGGTAATCCAAAAGATGGACAATATTTTGTCATCATTTACTGCTGAATTCCTTCTCTTATTCTCCATCAAAGCAGCCGATACCATGGAAAAGGTCGCGACAAATAGGCCAAACCCTATCCTTTGCAGAGGAGTGATTCCAGATTCGTGGCCGGTGAATTTCCTAGCGAAAGGGACAAAGAAAGTGTCATAGAGAGGGACTACAATGATTAGCATTATGTAAGGGATGGATTGGAGCGACGCAGGAGGGATGTGGAAGGATTTGGTGAGTTGGTTGTTCATGGAACTTCCTTGTGTGACTGAGAATGTTTGGAGCTGTGCCAAAATGGTGTTGAAAACAATGGTGCAAGCGAAAATCGGAATAACTGAGATCAGTATCTTCACTTGCTCAACTTGGGTCATGGTGCAAAGCCTCCACGGACTTTCTTCTGTATTATTAGCAGCTCCATCTTGAACTTTGATGCAGGCCTTGTCCAAAAACCTGAAAATTTTGCTTAGAGTCATTGGGCATAATATTGATTGCAACTACAAAAACAAATCATGTCAAGGGTCACTTATGTCCTAATAATTGTTATGAATCCTCATTAAATCTATGATATATTAGAGACATGTCCAAGGCACAAATTATTTAATTTTGAAGTTCAAAACTTGGTCAACATGCCTAGTTTTCCCTGAACTAAAGGTTTTTTGTTCATATCATTGTACTTTCAAGTTTGTTTGATCTTAAATGAGAAAGAAGAACAAAAATAAATTACTATAGTGTTAGTCTTCAAATTTTACCTGAACCTTTGGGTGTGAAGAAGATCACCAATATTGGATGACATAGAAAGGTTACTATTAGGAACCTTTGTTTGGCTACCATGAAACAGTTGTGGATCAGATGGACACACTTGCTTTCTCTTTAAAATTGCAGCCACAAAAACCTGAAATAAATAAAGTACAAAAAAAAAAAGAAAAGAAAAAGAGAGAAAATTGAATTAAATTATTAAGGAGCTCAATGATCTAACAACTATAAGTGTGTTTCATTTCAGTAAGACGCGTTGATATATATCAAAAAGCCTTTTTATGGGATCGACAGTGGATCAGCGGGTTGTACTTAAATTTACATTAGCTTACATCATTTTATTCTAATTAGTACAATGAAACAAGATTGCATGCATAATCAGCAGACTCAAACAGTTCACTTCTTCATATTTAAATTCTATAAGATCTCTTAAAAGATCCAAATTGACATAAATAAATACTAAACAATCAATTGCAGTCCATTATAAAAAAGCCTAGCTAGTATGGCCTCAAATATGAGGAAGTACATAGTCACCTAAAAGTTACTACTTTATTCATGTAATGTTGAAACACAGACGCACACATATGATATGAGAAAGTAAGGGGAAAAGAAAAAATATTTACACGGTTAGGGACTACATGGTTCCCGGCCAATCACAAATTGAAATGCAAGTAAAAAATTGAATAAAGCCAATCACATGCAAGCAAATGTGACATGTCGGAGTAATAATTTCTCGGGAAAATTAACTTTTTATTTCTTTAGACAAACATAATAAAAGCAAAAGATTATGAAACATAGAAAGTATAGGAAAGTCAAATATTACTTGAGCAATAGGGGTGACGATGCTTCCTTGAGGAGGCTTGTTCCTGTAAAAAAGTGTTCCACAAACCATGCTAATCAAGCCCATTGCCATGGCAGCTGCAGAGACTCCGAAGCCGACGTCCATCCCGGAATGAGTTTGGACCCAAACTAGAACAGTTAGGGCAACAAGTTCACCAGTGGAGAAGGCAAAGTAGGCGGCATTGAAGTAGGTAGAAAGCTTCTTGGACTGCTTGGGCTCATGCTTGTTGAACTGGTCAGCGCCGTGAGATATCATATTGGGTTTTACACATCCACTCCCTAAAGCAACCAAGTAAAGTGCCACAAAGAAGATTAAGGCCTTGAAACCATTTGCTTCCAAACAGTTGTCTCCATCAGTTACCATGTTGCACTCTGGTGGCTTTAGTTGGGGAATATGGGCTTGGATTGACAATAAAATGAAGCCCTATAAAATTCAACACACAAGCAACTTTCTAAGCATCAATAACTCACTCTCATTTTTTGACCTACACAAAGATTAATAATAATAACAATAAATACTACATATGAAAAATACACAAACTTACATAATTAACCAGACATGTATACGGTAAAATTACTCCATTGTGATATGAAAGCCAGGTTTAAAACCGAAATCTCTTCACGTGAAGGTAAAATTACGTACATCTAACCTTTCTCAGACTCTCTGTAATGATTGAAGTCTCGTACATTAGACTAACCCCATTGTGGCATGGAGGTCGCGGGTTTAAAACAGAAATCTCCTCATGTGAAGGTAAAATTACGTACATCTAACCTTCCTCAGACTCTATAATGATTGGAGTCTGGCACACCAAACTAACCTTTATAAGGTACTTGTGTGTAAGTATGATAATATATACAAAATGGCACAAACACATGGTATTATATAGTAATTCAAAACTTCGAAAAAAAAATATATATTTTTAAGTCACTTTTGGTGATGATTGAGAGGTTAGAGAGAGAGAAATTAAAGGTGTATGTTAAGAGAAGAAAAGGTGAAATGAGAGAGAGAAGACTTACAGAAAGCTCAACAAAGCCAAAGATGAGCATGGTCCAGAAGCACCCAAGATAAGAATCAGAGAGGTAGCCTCCAAGGAGTGCAATTATGAAGACAGTCCCTATAAAGTTTGTCACTATGTTGGCAGACTTTGACAATGAAAAGTGCATCTCATTTATCACATACGTTATGAGATTGTTTCCAACGGCAGCTATTGCCATAATCTCAAATGTTTGTAGCCCTGCAGGAATTAATGGATTAATTACACATAACAAAACACCAATATCACAACTACCACAAATTAATAAATTCAGTAAATAAATAACCTATTTTTCACACACAAACACACACACATGTATATATAGAAAGAGCTACCCAATAATGTTTTCACTTGATGAAATAAGAAATTCATTTTTTTTTTGTTTTTTTTCGGAAAAATAATAAATTCAATTAACTCCATTGTATTTGTCACCAATATTTATGTATTTAAGCAACACCCATTTCATAAATATATATATATATATATATTAAACAAAAGAGAAAAATAAGAATCTAAAAGGGCAAATAGTAGGTATGTATAAAAAATAATACTGTTTAGGATGAATGTCTAATGCATCCAAAGAATAAAAATCTATCTCGATTAACATTCTCGGTTAAACTGTTAAATTTAAAAATTTATATAAAACTGCTAGAAAGTTTGCAAAATCACCCAAAACCCAACGGCTTTTTAACATTTTAATCGGGACTTCACTCCCTCACAACCATTATATCTACCACACAAAGACAAACACACACACTGACACACACACACACACAAAGCATGTATATAGATGATATATATATATATATATATATATATATATAGAGAGAGAGAGAGAGAGAGAGAGAGAGAGGCAGACCAAGAACAAAGGCAGCAGCTTTCATTCCCCCGTGCTTGCTAGGATTGGAGGGTCTACCCCTCCAATCAACAGTACCGCCCTCTTCACCACTCATTGCCTCTCCTCCTTTCGAGTTCTTCTGTCTTCTATTACTCATCTCCACATCCATTTCTCTCTCTCTCTCTCTCTCTCTCTCTCTCTCCTATATAATTCTTATAACTCACTCTTTCTCTATCTAGCCTGCTAATATAATTTTTACAAGAGAACACAACTCTCCTAAGACGACTCTCTAGCTTTCTCTCTCTGTAACTCTCTCTCTCTCTCTCTTGTGCAGAAGAGGAGAGGCGTGGAGGTGGTGTGTCTCACTCTATGCTGAAATTAAGACAAGTTGCCCAAATTTATACCTGAAGATTCTTTTGAATTACAAGGGGACTGTGAAACACACCACACGCATTTATTGTCGCGTGGACACCACTTACTGTTAGAATTGCAACTAAGTAAGTCCATTCAAATAAGAATGCTACAATTACCACCTTTTTCTCGTGCCAATATTAATGGACACCCCATTTCTACTCTTTCTAAAATCTATTCCAACTCCCCACAAATTTTATTGGCTAGACCTACAGTTTTTTCCATATATATGTCAATTTCTTTTTCTTTGATTGGATGACTTATTCTTTCAAAATTCTCTTGAGAATTATGTTGTTTTGCACACAATACACGTTGGCTTTGCGTACTAAGTTTTCAAAAAGATTTTGTTTTGTATCTTCTTGGCACTTAACAGAAAAACGAATTATAATATTGTTTGTTCTATACTGAACATATTGACATTTATAATTTTCAAAATGCGTTTACGAAAAACACTCGGACAGAAAAAGTCACAAACTTTTAAAATTATTGCAAAAAATGTCCATTAATCCTTGTGGATAAAATATCACTTAAAGAAACTTCTCTTTAGATTAGTTATTTTTTTTATATAAATCTATACATATATATATATATATATATATATATATATATATAAGCCTCAAAGAAAGATCTGTGTATTTTACTTTAATTATAATAAATAAAAAAAATTGCCAATGAACCTATCTCTTCATAAATAACTTGAGTTTGACTTGGTTACAAGCTTTATACGATAAATTTATCTTCTGTTAAATGCTTTAAGAACCACTCATTCAACCCATATTTGGGCAAAAACTACATTCAATTTTTAATTTGCGAATTTTCTTTGGTCATTAATTGTCGTTTATGTATTGGTTGATGGAAGAGAGCTGGGCAAAAAATTAAAGTTGGACAAGGGTCAAATCAAAAAGACTGAACACATGAACTCTGTGGAACCCATGAAAAAACATTCAAAATTGGTTTTTTCTTGACTTTGTTTTTACCAGAACAAAATGACCATTCTTCCACGGAAGTGGGCCCTTTTTTTAATTAATGGTTCAGTGGGGATAAGAAAACAATCTCATATGCTTCTCTAATTGTGCCGCGTGGCAGAATCCTATTGGATTGAGAGAAGGTCCCACTGCATTTACTATATTCAAGGCATTTAAGGATAGTTTTGTAATCTGACCCGGAATGCTGCTGTTAAGTCTCTATCCACCCAATTACCCTTTAGTAAAACAAGTTTGGAAAATTTTATTTTATTCAGGATAAGGACACAGGTTTAGGGACAATTATTATCCAACTTAATTTAATATATACCAATAACTATACCACTTTTATATTTTAATTTAATACTTAAATATATCATTTATATTCAAATATGGTCTTTTTTTTTTTTTTTTTGGCAAAGAAATATGGTCTTTTAGGGTAAGTTAATTTAGTATATATCTTGGCACATTCACTATGTGTTGGAGGATAATTATAAATTTATCAGGTAACGTGATAGAGAATATAAACAGCTCAAGCATTTGCACATGTGTATATTTTTATACATATAATATAGGATAAAATAACATTAATTTCTAGATCTCGCTTCTTGTTTCTTTTTTAATTAATTATAGAGTCAAGTGCTTTATATATAATATAGGATAAAATAACATTAATTTCTAGATCTCTCTTCTTATTTCTTTTTTTTAATTAATTATAGGATAAGTGTAGAAAATAATACTAAAGTATGTTTACAGTGCATATCACATTCAAAAAACATTCTTAAAGCTTTAATTTGGTGCAAATAGGTCCATCTAACAAATTTAAAAAACTTAAGTTAACTAAATTACCCTTACTGAACCATTTTTAAAAAATATATAAAAATAAATAATTTTATAAAATGACTAAAAATGACATTATTGGAGGATACCCCTCACGTACAAAAAACATTCCTAAAGTTTCAATCTGATGCAAATAGGTCCCTCTGACAAATTTAAACCTTAAGTTGACTAAATTACCCTTACTGAACTATTTTATAAAATATATAAAAATAAATAATAGTCTAGCGGTATCAAACCCCTACTTCTCAAAGAGAGGTCAGGGGTTCAAGTCTCAATGGAAGTATGTGTGTGTGAGTACCAACTAGGAAAAAAAAATTATAAAATGACCGAAAAAAAACACAATTGAAGAACACCAATAATTGACAAATAAAGATAAAAATATAAAATAAAAGTAAAGATAAAAAGAAAAAATAAAAAACGAAAATAAAGAGCAAACTAAAGAAAATAAATCTGTCTCAAACTCCAAAAACCAGTGCACACTGATATTGAAATTTTTTTTTTTTTTTAACAGTGTTGGTGCGAACTAAAATAAAATAAAGAAAAACAAATTTTAGTAGAAAAGAGTAAACTGAAATCTCAAAATATTCAAATCCTTGTTCTACAAATTTTCAAAGTTAAAAAAAAAAAATGTTTAGAAATATATATAGATAAAAAAGTTTTAAAAAAAAAAAGTAATGTGCACATAACACCCCTATATTATGAGATTAGTAGCATATATACCTTCTTGAATATTTTCGGAAGAGTAAAAGGGCAAAACAAGTATTACAATACTAATTTATGTCAGATGAGGTATTTTTACACAATGTGAAAAGATTATGATTATTTTTTATACACTTTTTTTAAATAAAGAGTAAAAGTGTTATGCGTATTATACGTTTACGGTGTTTTCGGTGCACTTGTTCCTTAATTATACTAATTCTTTTTCCCTTTTTAACATGAATTATGGATAACCGACAAAGCAAGTACTTTACTAAGATTAATGCCAATTGCCACCTTAGAGAAGAGGTGAACGACTGCTTTCAAAACCTAAAATTAATAATGAACATTCTAGTAACTAAGCGCAATAACAAAGATTATCTAAGAATTTATGACAACGAAGCTATATGCCCACCATAAGTTGTGTGTGTGTGTGTGTGTGGGGGGGGGGGCGGGGGGGGGGGGGGGGTGGTAAGAGGAATGATGATGAGTTTTGAATTAGTTATGCATATATATAGTGCAAGGTACTGTGTGTGAGGAAAGGGTGGTTAATGTAGTAGTTCTTGTATTTGATGTGGGTGTAAACAAGGACAAAGAAACCAAAGTCAAAAGGTTGTCGGTACCAAGAAACAAATTGTGAAATAGTATTAGGTTTTGATTGGCTTAATCCTTTCTTGTTTGTGGGTGGTAATAATATTTTCCCCCTCATCAAAAGTTGATCATGCTTTTACATTATAAAATATATGTCCATCTCAAAATGTCAGCTCCCCACACACACACATAGTGGTGGCTGGCGTACACTTTCTCCAAAAGCCCAGAAACTTAATATGGTACATGACATGATATAAGAGATTGGGGATTTTCTTTTCTTTTCATTTTTTTAATTAGAAAGTTCAAGTAAATGCATACTCACAGTCTAATTTTATCCTATTATTCTGAATTTGAGAGAAAAATTAATTAAGACATCTATTTGTGATAAAAAAAAAAAAAAAAAAGATTTAAATGCTGAAGTCTTGTAAAAACGAATAGGTCACTAGCTAATTAGTATAACCTCTCCTGAGTGAGAGTAAATTGTTGATGCTTTAAACTACACAAATAATCGTTTTAAAAATAAAATTCATATCCAAAATAATTTGCTTAGATGATGAAATCAATGTGTTGATCTCATTCTCCTTTCTACTAAAATATATATATATATATATTCTCAATTTTGTTTCCATATTCTACTTTGTCTTCAAAGGTCAGATTTTGTTTTCACCAGTCTAGTAGGGAGTAGTATTTTTCACTCGGAACCGAACCCTACATTATTTACCTATGTTGCATGACACGTGGCAGTAACTCATAGGTTTGTCGGCAAGAAAGTCATGTTTAATTTGCATGCCGACCTAACATCAAATGTATGATTCTTAAGTATGGAGCTTTTTGGAGAGAGTTGATGACATTGACTATTTGTGGGACCCTAAATTCAGGGTGGACTCACAAGTATCATAATATGTATTACTTTGGTCCCATATTAATTGTCAACTTAAAAAATTGTGACTCACAATTGAAATTTGTTTGACTCACAAAAATTTAAGTGGAAGTAATAACATCTAAAATGTGTACATTATTAACCACTGGAAGGTTATATATAATAAGAAGAAATAAATTCTACTTATGTACTTGCTTAAAGAACCTGAATCCAAAAAAAGAAAAAAAAAAAAAAAAATTGATGTACTTACGTACACAAACACATGTAGACATATTTAATTTGTTTGTGGAAAAATAAGTAATGTGGTCTCTTTTGATGTTTCACCATGATCATGTGCATTAATTCAGTTAACAAATGTTGGTATCAAGTTTTTAAGACAAGGAGGAATCATTTTAATAATACCAAGAAAGAGAGATTTAAGGGGAGCACAGAGTTGTCTTGAAGCTAGGGTTCCATGACCCCAGGTTTGCCTGCATGAAGGGACTGCTTGGGGTTTCGGTGTTTTTTCAAGAGCTATCCATTGAGAGGAACTCCTCGAGAGTCTTCAGTGCTTCCAAGGACTTCTTGAGGGCTTCAATATCCCTTGAGATTTATCCTTAGAGAAGTTTATAGGTAAGCAATCTGACATTTATCATAGGATATATCATATAGTATTGGGTGCCTACAACAAGCAATTATATTCTAAAAGCTTATGGTTAAGAGAGTGTAATTTTAGAACTAACCCTACAAGTTTAAGCCGAACACAAGTATCTTTCCTACATGTGATTGGACCTTAAAATTGTTTGTGTCAGAGTACCTTACAAGTAATATTTATTAACAATTTTCTCCTAAAACAAACATTGGTGTCAAAAAATTGCTTGAAATTTCGAAATAGAAGAAGGGAAAAACTAAAAAAATAAATTGGGGTCAAAAAGTTTGATCCTTATATTTAGTCTCAACATTAATTGGTATAAAAAAGTTCGATCCTTGTAGGGATCTTTAAAGCCTGATTCAAGTGTCTA